TGTCACTCCATTAAGAAAACTGATTTTCCCTCTCATAGCAGGTACAAGTGACAGCTTAGCTGTTAACCTTTATGCTAGTGGCTAGGTATTCATTCATTCACTCAAAATATAACAAAGTAAAATATAATAAAACAAAAAACTGTCAAAAACAAAAACTATCACATCAAAGCTGATGGTACAGACCAACAGAAAAAAAATGAGCCCAAGAGGAGGCATAAGAATCAGGGACCCAGTTGTTTGCACACTCAGGAATCCCATAAAAACACTAAACTAGAAGCCATAATATATACCCAGAGGACCTGGTGCAGACCCATGAAGGCCCTGTGCTTGCTAATCAGACTGAGTTCACACGATCTTCGATCGTGTTGATTGAAAGGGCCTTGTTTTCTTGGTGCCCTTCATTCCCTCTGGCTCTTACACTCTTGCTGGTCTTCTTCCATAGGGTTTCCTGAGCTCTGAGGGAGGGATTTGATGGAGACATTTCATTTAGGGCTGAGTGTTCTAAGATATCTCACTTTTTATAATGTCTGGCTGTGAGTCTCTATATTTGTTCCCAGCTGCTGCAGGAGCAAGTTTCTCTGATGGCTGAACAAGGCACTGATCTATGAGTACAGCAGAATGTCATTAGGAGTCCTTCTATCATCACACTTTTTTTTTTCTTTTTTAGACCAGTATTATTTGGTTTTACCCTAGGTCCCTGGGCTATCTAGTCTCAGCCCCTTGGCCACCCAAGCAGTGTTGGGGTATGGGTTCCATTTCATGGAGTTGGCCTGAAAAGGTCAAATGAGTTATTGGTTGGTTACTCAAACAAGCTTTGTGCCACTTATGCTACTTATCTTGCAGGTAGTACACTGTTGAAGATAGAGGGTTTGTGGTTGGCTTGGTGTTTACATTTATCTTTTGGTAGTGTGCAGAGGACTTGCCCATAACAAAGATACTGGAATGCAGGGAATGAAGGCTCTATGTAGGCACCAGCTGGACATCTCCATGTTCAATTAATTGTCTGAGTATTGTCTTCAGCAATGGGGCCTTGCTGTTAGTTTGTGGAGAGCAACCACAAACTAATAGCCTGAGTTGTTTGGGGATTCCCAGGGGGTCCCTTAGGCCAACAACTCAATTAGATGTAAACCAATCCTGGTACTGGAAGCTTTTTGGTGACAAGAGATGGCCAGCTGGACTCTGTTTCCTTGTGGGGGTCATTCTTATTCAAACAACCCCAGGTAGTGGCCTTACTATTCCATCCCTTTGCTGGGTGCCTGCCTCTGTCTTGCTGAGGTCTCCCTGTCTTAAAATTTTATCAAGGGTCTCATACTCTCAAATGACCTCTGCCTTACAGGTCATCTGCATCCATTTTTAAAGAGTGATTATGTCCAGGGTTGACTCATGGCTCCTACTTCCCTCTGCCTGCGGTTCTGGGTGTGCACTTCCCCTCAGGCCCAGTGGCCACAGTCAGTTCATAATGTCTCATCTCCCAGCACACATGACAACCCTCCTTGTCCCCACAGACAAGGTCAGTCTGCTGGATAGGCCATTCCCTGACTCCTTTCCGTTCCTCTTTGCTATTAAAATAAGCTGAACTAAAGGATAATTCACACTCTGTGTGAGCCCCCTGTTTAAAAGGGCACTGTATTTAGAGTTGTACAACTGTCACTGCAATCACTTGTCACCCCAAAAGGAAGCCTTGTGTCCATTAGCGGTCACTTTCTCCCCTCCCTTCCAGCCTAGACAGCCACCCATCTACAGCATGGCTGTGATTTGCCCATCAACACGTGTCTTTTCAGTGCAGGCCCTTTGCAGCAGTTCTCACTGAAAACCTTCCATGGCTGTAACCTACCTGTACATGTCTCCTCACACTCCTGCTTCTCAACCTCACACCTCCCCATACTTCCCCAGTTTTCTCTCACCTCCCTTCCTTCTTCATCCCTGCTCACATTTTACCTTTCCTTATCCCCTTACACTTTCTACACTCACATCTTGACACTGTCCCACACTTTCCTACAACCCCTCATACTTCCCATCACCTCCTCAGACCTTCCTGTACCTCACTCTCCACACCTTCCCTCATCTCCTCAGACCTTCCTGTACCTCACATCTTTCCACATCTCATTACCTATCCTCATGCCTGATTAATCTCCTATCTCCTTCATCTCATACATTCCTGTATTTCTTCTCTTTCCTCTTCTCTTTATTCCCTGGTGCTTGTTTAGGGACACACCTGCCTGTCCTCCAGGTCAGGAACTAGCTTTTCCTTTCCATAGTTCAGAGGCCAACCAACTGCCTGATGCCCACCCAGCATGAGTCCTTTAACTGGCTCATCAGAATCATTTCCTTAATCTCCTGTTGAATTTGCCCCTTAACCTTAGATGGCCGGAGTTGTCTTCCTTTACCTCTTGAGGATTTGACTTTGTATCTATCAGCATGTCTGTGCAGCCAACAGCTCTGTAAACTGCAACAGAGTGATTAATCTTTGTTTTCTCCCACTCAGGAGTTTCCTCTGCTTCCAGCTGAGTTCCCACCAGGCAGTAGGAGTCAGTGCAGGCTTATGGAGATGGGTAGTGCGATAAGAGTTCCCAAGGACAAAGAGGTCTCGTGAGGCTGAGTTTTCATCAATCTTTAATAAAGCCCCTGCAGACAGAGTGGTTTTACAACTTAGTTCAGATGTGTTTGTCTTTCAATTCACGAGGACAAAATTATATGTTCAAAATATATTTATATATGTGATGATATATAAAATGTCAAATATCCATTCTTGTGTCACTTATGTTATTTCAGTTTCAATTGTCAGGATTTCTGTAAACTTTAAGGATGAAGGAAGAGTTCTGAGCATAGCTTGAGGAGCCTGGCTGAATTCAGACAAGATGTGACTGCCACACGTGGAGGGTGGGTGGAGTTTTTTGTTTTGATTTTGATTTGTTGGCTTGGGAGGACCATGGTGGTGTCCTATCAACTGGGATGACTTCTTCCCTTCAGGCAGGGATGAGACTTTAATATTGAGGTGAGTTAGGGTTGGTTGGGTTAGTGCCATCTTTGGTGTGGCAGGTGAGGGGTGGGGTTAGGGTTGGTAAATGAGTATTATCCTTGGTAGTGGCAGGTGGGGGGGGCTTTCTACTTAAAGTATTACTTTGATTCATGTCCAGGACCTAAAACTTGGATATCATTTTAAACTTGCTCTTCCTAATTATCGTTGGCATCATTGTTGGTATTGCTTCTCTTTCTCAGGCTGCCGTGAACATCCCGTCTGCACCGCAGGGCAGTGGTCCCCTGCATCTGTTCCCTGAGCAGCCATTAGGAAGACTGAGTGAATAAATAAGTTTGGAACACTGCTGTGCATGCTTCTCTTGGAGACTGATATCATAGCAATCTTTTAAAGGCTCTGAGAATTCCTGTAGGGGAGCAAGTGTTTCCTGGGCCCTCAGGATAGATCAGTGGGCAAAGATGTTGCTGTCAAGACTGATGGCCTGAGCTTGATCCCTGGGACCCACATGGCAGACTCTAAGTTGCTCTCTGACCCCCACCTGCATGCATGGCACTTGTGTGCCCATATACAATCACACAAGTAATTTAAGAAATTAAATTAAAATATTTTTCTAATGTTTCTAAAAGTATTGCTCATAGAGCCGTATTTCCCATTTCCAATGCAGTCTATTACTGATGACCAGTTCTGCTGGGACAGCGTAAAGGCTCCGTCTCAGAGCCAGTCCTCACAGATGTGGTTGCTGTGCTGAAGCAAGAGAATCTGTCCAAGGCTCGGGTGCTGGAAACGGGAACCCTGTCCTTTATGTGGGACTGGGAAAGGATTTCCATGGGCCTTGCCTAAGGTGTTTGGGTCTCACCTGACTCCATTCAGTGTGTCCTTCACGGAAAGTGGGCAGGCAGAGATGTGGGGCCAGGGACTTCCAGAAGGAAAAAAAATGTTTTCTTATGAGGTGCATAGTTGGTAGGGCTTGACTACCCATGGGACTGTGGGGCTGTTTTGTATCTCTTGAGTGAAGACATCATTCTGCAGTTTCCAGAGAAAACAGACACAGCATTGGCCAAGGGTGGGAGTAAGCTGGGATCCCAGCGGAGCCCTGGGTTCATCCAATCATAGTCTCTCTCATGTCTGTGTGTGCTAGGCCACACCAGCAGCACTGCTGAGAGCAGAGATGATAAGAGGCCCAGGCTGAGGCTACAGCCTGTAAGTCTGTGTCCCACTAGCTGTAGTTAGACTATTTTGTAGTTCTGTATATATGTATTTCTTCAGTGGGACTGTAAGCCATTGAAGGCAGGGCTGGTCTTTGTCTCCCCTTTGCTGACAGCATCATGCATGAGCTGAGCTCATTGGATAGGGCCACTCAGTTGTACCCTAGTTGGCAATGAACCTCCAACGCACCATGGTAGGGATGGGTAGTCTCACAGTAAAGCCATTAGAGCATTAGGAACTTGTAGTGAGTTAAAGTTACATACTTTGAATGAGTCCCCAACACATCATCAAACAGAATAATATATTTCCATGATAAGATCATATGCCTTTTTTGTGTGTGACAGTCTTGCCTTGGCTGGCCTTGAACTTTTGAATCTCCTGAGTTGGAATGGTGGGCATATATCATCATATCTGCTTTCAAAAAATAAACTCCTTAAAAATAATGTGGTTTCTGTCTTTTCTTCATTGGCTGCTTTAACAAAGTCTCTTGTTTCTTTTTGTTTTTCTTCAGTACTGGGAACTGAGCCCAAGACCTTGCCCATGTGAGGCACGTACTTGACTGGGATGTATCCTCAGTCCTTAGTTTAGGTTTTGAGACAAGGTTTCACTGAGTTTCTGAGCTGATCTTAAACTCACTTTGTAGCCTAGGCAGTCCTTGAACCTGGTACGCTCTTTACCTCAGCCTCCTGAGGACTGCTTCTCAGTGTCAGGAAAAGTGCCTGGTATCTGGCTGTAAAAGGATGGGGACTTTAAGTGATGGTGACATTTTGTTGCTAAATACTTTGTGCCCCAACCTTCCATGTTTTTGTCATTGCAGGTGATTTTCAAAGCCAAGTCAAAATATTCTCCAGAATTACTCAAGTATAGGTAAGTAACCCCAGAACGTTGCTTCTCAGACAGAAGGTGAAAGTGTACATGCAACCTGTCTTATCAGCTGGAGTGTGCACAGTTACCCCTCTAAATACAAAATAACCCTGCAGTGGTCTTGTTCATGGGAGCCTGCACACTGATAGGATTTACTGGAGTCCTGTGGAACAGTGTCCACACACACACACACACACACACACACACACACACACACACACACACACACACGGTTTGCCTTGCACTCTCTATCCTCCTTCCTCAGCATCCTGCTGACTGGCTTTGCAGGGATGCACTATCATGCTTGCTTTAAACACTATTTAAAATAATGTACCTTTTGTTCGAGTGCTAGTCCAACATGCACGAAGTCTTGAGTTTAACCCCAGGTACCGTAAAAACCAGATGTGGTGCACACCTATGATCTCTGGACTCGGAAGGAGGAAACAGAAAGATCTGAAGTCCAAAATCCTCTCAGCTAGATACCAAGTTTGAGGCTTTTCTGGTTTATTCTAGGAGCTCAGGACAGGTACATGGTCTGGAGGGACTCCTTGTTGACATGCCCAATTTATGGGAAATGGTGACAGTGCAGGTTCCTCCTGTGTGGTCTGTGGCCTTACCTGCATTGTTGGAGAAGGCCATCAGATTTAGGTCAGGTGTGATGGTACACACTTGGAATTGAAGCGCTTGGAATACTGAGGCAGGATCCTGTGTTTGAGGCCTCCCTCCCTGTGTTGTGTAGTGGCTAATGGGACCCTAGTTCTTGGATTTTGGTATCTTTGGTGTCCGAGAACCAATTCCTTACAGATACTGAGAGATGATTGTGTGTATGTAATGAGGATTTTACAGAGAATATTTATTCAACACTCAATTTAAATGCTTTTGATTAAGTACATGCATTCGTACATGTGTGTTTATGAGGATGCCCAAGGAGGCTAGAGGTGTTAGATCCTCTGGAGCTGGAGTTATATGGAGTTGTGAGCAGCTTCCTGTGGGTGCTGGGGATTGAACTCAGGTCCTCTGGATGAGCAGTACACTCTCGTAACCACAGAGCCATCTCTTTGACCCCTAGAAGAGTTATTTTATTCTCTGATTGCTCTGTAGACCAGGCTGGCCATGAACTCAGAGATCCGCCTGCTTCTGCCTCCCGTGTGCTGGGATTAAAGGCATGTGCCTCCAACACCCGCCAAGATGTGGTATCCTTAATCTCAAAATTGCAAATACCCTCAACACCAAAACACCTGAATGTGCGTATGAAACATAAGTAATTTTTTGTTGTTTACATTTGGGGTCTGTTCCCTTATTCTAATGTTACAGTCCCAGTTTTTTAAAACAACTTAGTTTTTATAATGAATTAATTGTGCTTGGGATTAAACTAGGGCTTTGCATAGTCACAAGCCTTTCGGAAGAGTGACACGTGGTTGTAGTGAGCAGAAAGCCATCTTATGGTAACAAACCAGCTCGTCTGTGCTTTGCACTGTAATCTCCCATGCAAGTACTAGCCAGGTTGATCCTGCTTAGTGTTTGTGGTTTCTGAATTAGTGATGCTTAATCCATGTTGACACATGGAAAGAAATGAAACTACTGATTCTGCCTCCTCTTGCAGCCCCTCCACCTCCCAGGAGCTGCAGTGAGTGTCTTCCACACAGAGCATCAGGATGTTTGCACTCTGACCTCTTCTCTGTTTGGTGGGGTAGAGGTAGGGATCTGAGATGCCAGTGTTGAGCCCCGATCACATACTTCTGGTATGTTGGGATCTCATTTCCCTGGGCCACATGCCTTGTCATTAGAACTGGTTGGCCTATGTGACTTCCCATTTTCATCAGATGGTCCGGGTACAGGGCTGTCCAGGGAGGTAGCCACAACCCTGTCTACCTGGAAAGGTGTCCTTTGTGTATGCCAGATTGTCTTCAACAGGAGGATGTTGTATTTGGGAGTCAGAGGGAAGCAGGTTCAGGTACCTCTTGCAGGGCTTTGGGCTGGAGTCCTTCCTCCTGAGGCAGGGTTTTATGTATTCCAGGCTAGCCTCCAACCTCTTATGATGTCTCTGATGACTGAACTGCTGATTCTCTCCTGCTTCCACATCTCAAGTGCTGGGTTGATGGGCGCTACCACCGCTCTCAGCTAACACAGCACTGGGAACCACACCAAGGCCTCCGCATGCGAGGCAAGCATGCCGGCAGCTAAGCTACCTCCCCAGACCCTTTGTCCATCTCAAAACACACACAGCAGTGACAGGAAGCTCTGCCTGCTTGGTGTGAGCACAGCCAGGCCTCAGGATCAGGACCTTGTATAGGAGGAGGTAGGCATGAGTTGATTCTTCATCTCTTTGGTTGTAAGCCGTGAGACACCTGTGGAATTTAAGTGTAGGGACCCAAGAAAGTAGAGAAAAGGGAGTGTGCGTGTCTGTAGTTATAGACGCATCAGAGTCAGCAAAGGTCTCTGTGGCCGCTACTGAGCTGAGCTACAGGCTGTACTAGAAGCCAAAGAGAAAAAGGCCTCGTGGGATCATGACTTCTAAACGTGCACCAGTTGTGTGTGTGTGTGTGTGTACTGGGGGTGTATGTACATATATATGTATGCACTTGTGCACTCAGAGGCTAGAGGATGACACTGACATGGTATGTCCAGTTCTATCCCTGTCCTTATTCCTTTGAGGTAGTCTCTCACTGAATCTGAAACTAGCCTGGCAGCCAATAATTCCCATCTGTCACCCTACCCATTCACTGGGGTTACAGGTGTATATAGCCATGCCCATTTTGTATATGTTCTGGGGATTTGAACCAATGATTACCTGAGCCAAGCCCTCACACAAGTCCACTTTTGAGCCATACAATTTCACTCCTCTTTGCATGTCCACCACATGGGTCTGCCAGACGAGTCCATAACATGGGATGCTGTGAGGGGAACCCGAGGCTGCATTACCTGTGTGCAGGTCTGGCATGTGTGTAGGTCTGGGAAACTATGAAACTGCTAGTGAAATAAACGGTTTAGGGCTTGGGCTCTGTAGTTTGATAAGACTTAGCAAGGGTATGCAGTGTCCTGGGTTCAATCCTTAGTACCACAAAAGAAAAATAAAAAAATAAGAGCACTTTTTAAAAAAACCCATTTAGCATTTCTTAGTTGCTGTGGTAGATTTGTGTTGTGGTTTTCTTGCAGCATTTGAGCTCAAATCCAGGACTCTCTGCTAAGCAAGTGCTCTGCCACTTGGCTATGTTCCCAACCCTAGCCACGGCAGAGTTTTTTGTGTAGCCTTGCTTCATTTTGAGTGTGTGTGTGTGTGTGTGTGTACACCACATGTGTACCTGGTTCCAGTAGAAGCCAGAAGGCGGCTCTTGGGGCTGGAGTTGCAGACAGTTGTGAGTATTGGGAATTGAGCCCAAGGCCTCTGGAAGATCAGCCAGTGCTCTTAATTGCTGAGCCTCTGTGGCAGATTTTTACTCAGAGAACACTCTGTGGCTGGGGAACTTGGCAGGGAGAAAGGGGGTACAACACATATAGAAATGACTGGTAAATATACACAGCTGACCTGTGCATTTGTGACCCAGAATGTGTAGGAAGTAACAGACCCTGGTGTGTCTCGTCTTCCCCAGGTTACCCCTCTACCTGGCCTCACTTTTCATTAGTCTTGTTTTCCTGCTGGTGAATCTGACCTGTGCTGTGCTGGTGAAGACGGGTACCTGGGAAAGGAAGGTGATCGTCTCTGTGAGAGTGGCCATCAATGACACACTCTTCGTGCTGTGTGCCATCTCTCTCTCCATCTGCCTCTACAAAATCTCCAAGATGTCCCTGGCCAACATCTACCTGGAGTCAAAGGTGAGGTGGAAATGTGGTTAAGTTCCTTATTCTGAAAATGGCTTCCTGGCTTACACCTAGGTGAGGATCCTGCTCACCCTGTGGTTCACTGAACTTTGTGTGAACTTTTGTTTCCGGGTGGCTTGGTGTATGTTAGGTATGTAGTCTCTGGGAAAGTTAAGTCTGGTTTAGGACTACATCTGTTTAAGTGTTAACTTATTTTTGTGGTGCTGGAGACCAAACCCAGAGCCTGTATGTGCTAGGCAAGCATCTACCACTGAGTTGCAGCCCTACACATTTGAAAAAAATCATATATAGAGATGAGGTCTTTTTAAGTTGCCCAGGATAGCCTCAAACTTGTGATCTTCCCATCTTTGGCTTCTGAGTAGTTAGGATTAGAGGAATGTGCTATTAGGCCTGGCTGGACCCACGATTTAACTCTCTAGTAGGACAGCTGGACCAACAACACTAATAGCAAGTAGTGTTGACTGTGTCCTTGGCCCCTTGATAAACACCCTTTTGGGCATGGGGTAATAGGATCAAACTCAGGGCCTCGTGTATATTAGGCAATATCTGTATCACTCATCTCTATCCCAGCCTTTAAAATAACAACAGTAGCAACTATTTTAAGACAGGGTGTCACTAAGTTGCCTAGGCTAGCTTTGAACTCACTGCTGCCCCAGCTGGACTTGTGATCCTCCTGCCTCAGCCACCACTGCTATAGTTGGGATTACGGGTTTACACCTCCAGGCCTGACCTGACGAGCACTTTTAGTGGCTGAGCTAATATCAGCCTCCCATTTTAATGGGAATAGGTAGTGTTAAATCCCTACTTAATGGTAAGGAAACAGAGACATGCACAGAGAGGTGAAGAAGCTAGTCCCAGGTCAGCGAATGAGGGCCAGGGTTCACAGCCTCCCAACACCTGTTGTGCCTCTATGGAGACTCATATCCACCCTCTTCTTGGTGGTAGGAATGGTCCCAGCTCTTGCTCCTAGATAGCCAGGGGGACTCCATCCTCGCCCTCATCACTCCTCTGGAGTGGCCCTGTCAGTTGTCAAGAGACTGTATTTCCCACTTCTGAATGCAGAGCCTGTTGCCCCATCACAGACCTGCTATTGCCTTCCTCTCGGACTCTTTTGGCCTGAAAACTGCAAGGAAGCTGGGCTCCCACTGTGCTGTCTCTAGAAGCTGTCAGTAGACAAAAATCTCTACCACTAGCTCTCACAGGGCACCTCGTGGTTCAGCTGGACTCATGAAAATCCTATATATTAGCTGGCCCAATTCTTTCATTTGTAAATTTTGATGACTTTTACACTTAACTTTTGCCATAAAGTTCATTATCTTACCTTTAATACATGAGCTGTGCATAAAGTTTGAAAAGTAAAAGCCATCTTTAGAAGGAATAAATGGTAGATTGTCAGATATTAGCTCATCCCACTGACAAAATGACCCTGTGATGGAGTTCTGACTCCTAAGAGTAGGACATAAGTCAGCTCTGCTTTCCTGTGTCCTGGTAACTAGGTGTCCTTTAACTGATGCAGAAACTGAGAAAGTGACATAAAGACTTATCCCAAGTCACAGATGCTCAAGTGACCCCATCCAGAGGCCAAGCAGGATTTCTGTGCTTCCAGCCTAAAGGTTCTATAGACTTTGAACAAGGCCGTATGCACCCTGACTGGGGCTTTCGGGCTGTGCAAGGCACTCAGCCAGGATCTTGTTACTGAACAGTAGGACTTAAAAAATCTGATGAGCTTTTTGACATTCTGGCTCTTAAGATCAAGGCCTTGTGAGCTGGGGTAATGCCTCAGTCAGTAAAGTGCAAACATAAGGACCTGGCTCTGATTCCCCCAGAAACCACATTAAGAGTGGAGTGTAACATCACGTGCTCACAATCCCAGTGCTCAGCAGAGGAGATGGGGGATGAGCAAGTTCCAGGTAGTGAGACTCTTTCTCAAAAACAGGGTGGAGTGTAATCAAGGAAGACACTATGAGACATACACCCGAAGGCCCTGAGAAAAAGGCCCAGTCCCAAGTTTTAGATGAAGGTAACAAATCTGAGAGGAAGGGGTGCAGATGTAGCAAGGCCAGGGGTAGAATGCTCTGGAAGAACTGGCCAAATCTCTGTTATTAAGGCTTACTGGGTGATACCGGGGGAAGGAAGGAGCTGGTGCCTCTGCAGTGGCCCATTCCTGCTGGCTTTGTCTTCCAGGGCTCATCAGTATGTCAGGTAACTGCCATCGGTGTCACCGTCATCTTGCTCTACACCTCTCGGGCCTGCTACAACCTGTTCATCTTGTCCTTTTCTCAGATCAAGAATGTCCACTCCTTTGATTATGACTGGTACAATGTATCAGATCAGGTCAGTGGGGGCATGACAAGGTGTTGCCTGTTCAGGGACCAGGTCAGCGGGATGTGGTGGGATGCTGAATTGGTGGGGAACAGGTCGGTGGGCAAGGTATTGCTTCAGTGGGGACCAGGTTAGTAGGCTGCAGTGAGTGCTGCCTGCTGGAAAGCCAAACTCTGTTCCTGCTCTTGTACAGTGAGTGCTGGGTGTCCAGAAGGAATGTGCGAGTTGATGGCCCACTGATGTGCAGACACAGATAAACCTGTGTGGTGGAGAAATGAACCCCCTCTAATAGGACTCTATTGGATTACTTTCCAACACTACTTACTGTTATCTAGAAAAACAGCAAATGCCCAGAAGTGTATAAGTCCAGGTATAAAATCCTCCAGTGCACACACAGCTGGAGCTTACTTAAGACAGTGAGATAAAAATAAAATAACCTCACTGAGCTAAATCCACAATGGTTACATGCATAGTATCCCTGGAAAAGATGAAACCATGATTGTAACCTAGCAACCCTGGCCAAGCCTGTCCCACAGGTGCAGCAGGGAGAAAGCTTGGCAAGAATGCTCAAGTCCATGTGCCATTTGAGGAAAACCAGACATGAGATTCCTAGACCTTAAGCAGTGGCCAGTGATAGAGATGTTCATCATACAATACACATTAGGTTTCCAAGAGCAGACCAGCAGCACTGGTACAAACATGGTCAAACCATCACTGCTGCCCACTTGACTTGTCATCTTTCCAAACTGAACCTTCATCAAGCAACAGATTTGGTTTTTAACTAGTTACTTCCATTTTTCTTTCAATCAAGAGCCTAAGACCGCCATGTCTGGGGTGTGATGGTTTTGCAATGCTTCTCTTTGGTGGTTTCAATCATCTATGCCTTCTTGGGGAAAGGAGGCAGCACTGAGCTGAGCGGTGGTGGTCTAAGAGAAATAGGACATGAGTACCATCACCCTGGGGAGGAGCAAGGCAGCTTTCAGCATGACATGCTAGAGGAGGCTTGAGGACCAGCTTGTGGCTCCGTGTTCTCTTCCTGGTAATAGGCCAAGAAGCTGCCACAGCCAGTTCCTCTCTACTCTGGGGCCTTCCCTTCATGAAGCCCCTGTGGCCCTCCCCTGGGTACTGCCTTGCTCAGGGGACTTTTCCTGGACAAGCTGCCTGTGGTCATGGAGAACAGGGTGTGGCTACTGTTATGATGACTCTGGACAGACAAGCTGCTTTGCTCCCCTTTAGGAGTCTGGGTTAGGTAGGGGCTCTGGGTTCATCCCCTGAACTGCAAAAGTAAATGAGTAGCCAGTCGTGAGTAACCATCCTAAATGGTTTCCGTGGTTCTTCAGCTGAGGCCTAACCCATCACTGTGACCAGATTCTAAAGTGCAGGCTTTAGAGGGTGCGTTTCACTGTACCTAGGAGCTTTTTCTGCTGTGTCCTCCATCACTGGTTGCCTGAGGTCTCATAACTTCATTTTCCCCGCTCTGGAACAGGCAGATCTGAAGAGCCAGCTGGGTGATGCCGGCTATGTAGTGTTTGGTGTGGTGCTTTTTGTGTGGGAGCTCCTACCCACCACCTTGGTGGTTTACTTCTTCCGAGTCAGAAACCCCACGAAGGACCTTGTAAGTACCCACTGTCCATTTGCTTGTACCCCTAATCCTCCCGAAACTAGCAAGTAGGTTTTTCCTCCCAGCTTTTCAGTGAAGCTTCCTGCATCCCACTGTGAGGCAGATCATCTATGACTTTCTTTATCCTCTCAAAGAAAATGTGTTTGGGAATTTAGCTTTGTTTTACAAAAGAAACAAAGGTACATCTCATGGCCTGGGACTAGTGATTCCCAATGCCACACAGTATTCATGTCCTCCAAACATATATGCTGCTCTTTTGGTAGAAGGTGGAGGGCTGGAGATACAGCAGTTGGCAGAGCACTTGCCTAATGTGCACGAAGCCCTGGGTTTAGTCCTCAGTACCACATAAACCAGGCACATAATCCTAGCACTAGGGAGATAGAAGCAAGAGGATCAGAGGTTCAGTCATCCTTGGCTACATAGTTAGTTCAAGGCCAGCCTGAGCTACATGATACCTTATCTGAAAAAAAGACTGTTAAAAAAAAAGGGGGGGGGGTAGAGATTCACTTTATCCCAGAGTGACAACAGCTCATCAGGGAGTGGGAGGGCATAGCAGTGACCATGCTAAAGCTACCCACTTATGTTTGGCCACATCTGCTGAACCAGCCCTATAGAGGAGAAAACCAAGTCAAATTCAGAATCCCCTGGAAGCCTTGCTGCACCACACAAGCTAGGGTACAGCTTTGCCTTCCTGAGCTACACACGGTGGTGGGGGACAGTGTGAGCATGAGGGGTCATAGAATGATGCGTGTAGACATGGCACAGTTCCTGGTCCATACCTGGGTAGCGACAGCTTGTTGCTCTTTTCCCTACCCCTCTCTGGGTGGTCACTGGTGAGCCAGGCACAGGAAACAGACCAGGGTGAGGTGGGAGACGAAGCACAGCATGGCTATGCCTTCCCTGCCCCGATGGACTCTCCAATGTCCATTTGCAGTTTCTGAGAATTCGGTGTGGGGCAAATGGATGAAAGGATCGAGGAATGATCCTGAAGTAAGAAACTCCCCTGAGAGCCTGTGTGAGTAAAGACAGAGGAGTCTCCACATGAACTGTCTGCTTTAGTTTGGGGAACTTTTCATTGTTTTGAGACAATCCTGCTGTAGAACACAGGCAGACCTTGAGATAAAGCCTTCCAAGTCCTGGGATTATGAGCATGAATGACCATGCCTGGCCATTTGTACATATCTGTGAGGAATAAAAATCACTCCATACTTTCCATCATGAGTGATGAGTAATCACTCGGTAATTGGAATTAAGAGCTATGGATTTCATTGTGATGTCTATATAGGCATATGTTTTGTTCATCTTTTCTCCCATTACCCTCTCTCCCTTCTACTGATCCCCTTTGTCTCACCAACTAATTGGTCCTTTTTTACAAACTGCTTATAGATCCTTAAAGAAAGCAGCCCCTCTCTCCTCCATGATGTATTTTGGGGACTGAGGATAGTAGCTCAGTTGGTAGAATGCTTCCCTAACATGCAGAGAACCTTAGGTTCAGCCCCTAGCACCTGAGAGGTAGAGAGGAAAATCGAAAACTAAGGTCATCTTTGGCTGTTAAGGTTGAGGCTAGCCTGGGACACATGAGATCTGTCTTAAAAAAGAAAAGGATGCACAGGCACATTAAACACGCTAGCTAATGACACTACTCTTCCTCATGTTAGCAGGTAGTTATGTGCATGGATGCTAAATGATAAAATCTTCTTCTAGAGCAACCCTGGGATGGTCCCCAGCCATGGATTCAGTCCCAGATCTTACTTCTTTGACAACCCCCGAAGATACGACAGTGATGATGATCTTGCCTGGAACATTGCTCCTCAGGGACTTCAGGGAAGGTAAGAGCCTGCTCCTGTTGGAGAGCGGGTCACTGGAACAGATCGAACTGGAGGACTTCCCCTGCACAGAGCTGTCCTGCAGGGTCAGGTTCACTATGGGAAGTAGCCAGGTATGAGAGAAAACAGTCTTTGAAAGATTCCCTCCCCCAGCACTTTTCCTACCCAGTAGTCCACGGAATGCTTCTCCGAACCTACCCAGAGAAAGCCAGGACATTTACTGTTCCAATGACTCAGTGGAACATGATCTGGGACATCTAGGCAGACATCTTGGATCCTCTTCTAAAGCCAGAGAATACATGAACAATAATCACTAGTGTGAATATACTATAAGAACCAAAATTTGAAGTCTGTCATTCTTACACAGTTATTTACTAAGATACTCACAAATGTCACCTCATTCAGTGTTTGCTACAACCCTATGAGGTCAGTGTAATTGAGTTCTTGTGGTTCAAGACCTGTCTGTGGGAGTCCCTTTGCTGAGTCAGCAGTGTGGCTGGCCCCGGTGCACACTCAGTGCCAGAGCACATGGGAGCTGCCTCCTTTCTTGAAAATTCACTAGCAGACTGGGCTCAGTCTATTTTGAGGTGGGCACTTACACATGGCAGCATTCACAATGGTGTGTGTGCTCAAGGCAGTCAAGAAGCTGTGCCTGGCTGCCTTCAACTAGAGTCTGGGTAACAGCTAGGAAAAGGAGGATAGGAAGTGCCTGCCTATAGGGCCAGGAGCAGCCCTTGTGGCTCTGGTTCCTCCTCTCCCTGTACACCGATCTGCCCAGTGCTCAGAAAGCTGTGCTTGCTTTTCACCCTGAATAACTAACAGTGAAAGTCTTTGGAAATGGGGACAGTGCTTTGAAAAGACCTTAGTTTGGGATACAGAGCTGAGACAGAACATATTACTGTCTCATGGGTAGGGACATCATATACCCTCCTCCCCCATTTTATAAAAACCCAAAACAAGGTAGCAGTTAGGGGAAACACAGAGCAGTCATGTGTAAAGTACAGGCTCTGGAAGCAAGCCAACATACAAAGATTTCTCAGGGTCAAAAGGTACCCTCCCAGAGTTTGAGCTCCACTTCTTCCTAAAACTGTTCTCTTATCTAGCTACCCAACCGGAGCATCACTAACCATCACGTGCCAGAAGTTACCAAGAGCAGACAGAGGAGTACTTACCCTGTACACAGAGCGAGAAAAGACCCTTTTCCATAGAGGAAAATGAAAACAGTGTATTGAGTTCTTATGATATCTTAGATAGTGCTCTTGAGGACTTTTGTAGGTATTTACTCAACCCTGACAACAGCCCAACAAGGAAGTTACTAATGTCACTCCTGTCCCACAGATGAGGAACTTGAGACATACAAGTTATCTGTCCAAAACACATGGGTAGTTAAACTATAATGCCACCTTAGAATTTAGATACAATTTTGTGCTAAAACTATGTTCTCTCCAGTGCTAGTTTAGGCTCCAGTAGTTCCAAATTTCTGAGCACTGTAGGGTTCAGTGGATTTGAACACAGGCTGCCAGCACTGTGTGTAGCTGGTGGGAAAATGGGTTTCAAGACACAGCATGAAGTCCTCAGGTCTATTACTAAACTACATAAGCCACATGTACACAATATATTGTGTCAAGCTACTGAACTGGTTTTGTTTGTTTGTTTAAAGTTTTGCTCCAGACTACTATGATTGGGGACAACAAAGTAACAGCTCCCTGGTGCAAGCAGGACTTTTGCAACAAGACTCCACTTTGGATCCAGACAAAGCAAGCCAAGGGTAGCACCAGCTAACAGTCCTAAGGAAGAGTCCTCTGTTGAAAACCTTCAGCCAGACAGACTGGATGACAGCTGAGTTTTTAGGCACTTTTCCTCATGAAACAGGACTTCAGTTTTTTGCTATAGCTTTCTCATGGCTAGATAGGACTAAGCAATAATTTAGAGTGATAAACTCTCACTTTAGTACTAGCAGAGAGCCTGGCTATTTCAGTGGGTATTAATTTAAACTTTTAAAAGAGATTCTGTACTTTTATAAAGATGTATTTTATATAACTTAAATACTAATGCTAAAGTATACTAGGTTTTTTTTCTTGATTGTTACTGCAATGTATGTTGTAGTTTGCACAGATTTTCATGCATAATTCACTTTAAAACGTATAGCATACGTGGTCTAATAGTTTAAAGATTTTTGGCAAAGAGTTTCTTCAATCCTTACCTCTGAAGGTCACTGTGATTGTGAGCACCACACTGGTGAACTCCTTTAGCTGCCATTCCAGTGGTAAAGGTTAACAGGAAGCAGAGAACCAGTGTGAACATAACTGGCTCCACAGTAGTAGTCTCTCTTGAACGTTGCCCAAAGTCTGGTGCTTCTTCATCCAAGAGCACTACTATAAGCCCTCCAGTAACAAATGGATGCTGTCAAGATGTAGTCACTGACATTATGCAGCTGCCTTGGCTGTGTGGGTAGCCATTTTGTATAGTTTTCTTCAGCCCAGTATAACGGAATACTACCTCAGTAGGATGGCAAGACTGCCTTCCCTGACTCAGCCAGTGCTTACTATAGTTAACCAAGAGGTCCCTACAGAGTGTTAACAATAAATATTTCTGGCCCTCAAGCTAAAGGACTGTGGACCCTGACAGCTTTTCTCTAAAACATGCCTGTGATTTGTATGAGACTGACATAGTGTATATGAAAAAATGGGCTCTGCCTATGTGGTAGCAGGACCCCTGCCTCAGACAGAGAGCATTCCAGACAGTGATCCCCATGTGCTATCTTAGGGCTCCCCGTGCACACTCTGGAACCAAAATGGCCATCCTGGAGGCTGGGTGCTCTGGCTTCTCACAAACTGCATCATCTGGTCACCAGAGTCAAAAGACAAGTCTCTCTCACAGGCTATAGCCCACATCACACATTACTCCTGATGTCCTACCCATCTTGGGGATTTAATAGGTACAAGCCCACTCTCTATTTTGGTGTATTTAAGATTGGGATTCCAAGTTTCAAATAGGTCGCAATTGGATTTTCATTGCATAGAACACAAAGTTGACCCTGCATAGCCCCTCACCACGTCTTTGCTTTTGAGTATGAGAAAGCATCTGGGTTACAAGCCATTTAAAATAGTTATTTGTTAAAAAAATAGTTACTTGTTAGGGCAAATTCGACACAGGTAGCTTACAATAAAAGTGTATTAAAACAGCGTGTCTATCGCTATACCTGCAACAATTTGACAGTTGTAGCCAGTGCCCACAGCCCGTGTCCTTGTCTCCACCATGTCTATCTCTGTCCGCAGCCAAGGGCAAGGCTTTCTGAAAAGCACAGCGTCATCAAGATACTTCTGTATGCACACGTTTTGTAGCACATGCACACTTTATAGTTTGTCATTGTCTGTAAGAAAACAGGCACCCAGCATAAAGTGACAAGTTATATGATGCACTTTTACAATAAAGTTGTCAGCATTCATGTCAGGTACTTATTTATTGGAAAGAACGAAATGACATGTCTATTGAATTTCACTGGTTATACCTCAGATGCTGGTCACCACAGGCTGGAATATAAACACGGTGGCTGTGGTTCTCATGCAGGGAAGGAGGTCTGAGTCACTGTTGAGCCTTCTCCCTTACTTCCTCTGCTAACAAAACTGCTCCTAATGTGTTAGAATGAACCCAGGGAAAGAAAAGCTCACGTTTACAACACCATGAAATTAAAACCCTGGTAATATTAAAGCTTAAAGTGCACAGGACCAAGCATGGTATTATGATTTCAATCCTTGCACCAGGTCAAGTTTGAGGCCAGCCTGGACTATAGTAATACTCTGAGATGAACAAGCACATTTTTGACTGCTGGGAGAGTCATTTGCACACACAGCTAAGAATTCTGGCCAAGCCATGTTCATACCTATCCCTGATTGGCACATATTCCTTTAGACAGTTAATATCCAAGTGTTATGAATTGTGAAGTACAAGTTACTACAGCATACATGCCAGTCACATTTATTTTCTGTGGCTGTAGCAAAGATGGAATCCAGGACCTTACTCATATAGCAAGTGCTCTACCACTGAGCTGTATGTATCCTTAGCTCTTGCCAACTCTGTCATGACTATGTCAGACATAGTCATAATAGCTGCTCTTGTCCCATGTTTATCTGTGTAGATCAGGTAGACCCTAGTGGCTCCCAAATTCCCCCCTCACTAAAACTCAACTGCTTTTAGTGGACAATATTGCTGAACCCAACACTGGACCCCTATGAAGAGCAAAAGAAGCATTAGTCACTATAGGTGCTTCAGAAGCACCATGAGAAACTCATTTGGATCTACAGAGTGTATTACTAGAATATTGTGTGCCCATATGTATGTGTACCTGCACAGTGGCAATCAAATCCAGGCCTTATATTAGCTGCTAAACAATGCTTTGCCACTGAGCTACATATATTCCAGCCCATTTATTCTATTATAAGGTTATAAATAATTTATCAAAATTTACAAGCCAACTATTTTAGAAAAAGAATCCTACTTTTACTTTTATGGGGCAGAGATCCAGACTGGTGCAGAAACACACCAGTGTCCACTCCCACTTTATCAAAGATGTATGAGCTATTCACAACATCTGACAGGACCAGATTGGGAGCTACCAAAAGGAGCAGACTCAAGTCAGAGTTTTCAGCAAAAAATAAGCTAGTAAGACAAAGAGAAAATTTCTTAAATGGGACTGTAAAGACAGGCCATGAATTCAGTGTCTACTGGGTGTCTTTGCTGTATGGTACCCGACTTGGGGTTCTCATGAGTTTGGATTTGAAACCATAAAGAGAGGATCACACACATTAACTTCCTTTTAGCTCCTGGTAGAGACATAAAAAGCCCTCTCCCAAAGAACAAAATACCTGGTACCTGCTGTAGTCATTACTATGCCCCAAACTATTGGGCTCCCATACCTTTGCCTCCTTCTTGCCCCGGGTAGGTTCTATGTTCAGTATGGACTCATGCAATCTCAGCTTCTGATTCTTGGATCCAAATGTAGGCTGTTGGCAGCTCCTACAGACATCCACTACTGCCTTCTCCAAACCTTGATCTGCCCTGTTGTTTTCTTATGCTATCTTAACCAGTGGTGGCCTTTCCCCTAAGCCTCATCTGTAACCCTCAAATTGTGATTTTCTATACTCTGAATAGACGATATGTCCCCAAACTTTAGCCTAGTTAGAACTGGAGTTTAGAGGCCCACTTTATTCAGTTTATGAGCCTCAAAATTCTTCCCTTTCTACCAGCACTTGTTCATATGATTCTGACACCCATTAATCTCTTCCCAATCATGGTGTTTCTTCAAGTCCTAACTACAGCATAAACAGGTACATGCATTCAGATAAACAGTGCCTTTCCAGAGCTGCTGTGTCTTCATGTACTTCCCTACAAATAAACTCAGCAGCCCCATTCCAGCTTCAAGTCTCCAGGGCAAGGGACTGTCAAAGGCTTTGCCCAGCTGTCTGTAGGTGTATCCTAGGCAGAATGGCCAGAATATGGTTTGGCAAGGCCCTGACTGGTAGCTGTCAGATGGCTTTCCCCAAGTCAATATGCTGGCAGCATCAGGAGGCTACCTGTACTGCTGGGAAGATTTTTAGGTGGCACATGGCCTCAGTGGTATTGTCTTCAGGTGCAGTCTTACTATAAGTGGAATGGAATCTGGTTGGACTGTGGAAGGCTGAGCTGTGTAATGGCAGTAGTGTTTGTTTCACTCACTGCTATATCTCCAGACCCCCAAAAAGCCAAATTCCATTCTTTTCATAGCTGCCCTTACGTAACTTGCACTTGCACTTTTACAAGTTTAGCACTTGCTGAAGGGCTCCCCCACTTATGAGTCTCTAGCAGATATCCAATTTTGAAAGTAAGCCCCAAATCATTCTTGGGGACTTTGTCATACAAGGTGAACTGTGACTTCATGGGTGCTGTGTCATACCTCTATGAACTGCTCCATTTAGTGAGAGCACTCACAGAATTACCCCAGGTAGTTAAGGTCTAAAAGGCTTTTTCCTGTGTGAGGCCGAGTTAGAAGAATAAAGATATCAAGAGATTGAAAGTATCTTCACATCTAAGGATGTAGTTGTAGGCAGGGTGCTTGTCCCACATGTAGGAAGCCCTGGGTCTAATCCCCAGCACAGTGTAAAATGGGCATGATTGTTTACACCTGTGATCCCAGCACCTGGAAGCTGGAGAAGAAGATTAGAAGTGGGAATCTGAGGTCAGCTTCAGACACACAAGACCCTGAAAGTAATGACAGGGAGAGAGACTCCCCCCCAAAAAGAAAACAGTCTAACAGCATTCTGTCATGCTATAAGGATTTTTCAAAGCTCATGTGGAATCAAACAGATTCTAGGAAAAACAAAAGGAGGATGTGGTCAATTTGGACACATTAATAGTAAACGCTAAATCACCATTAAATCATGTGTTGGCTTCACATTGAGGAAAGAACACTCCCCTCAGTGTCCTTTAACCAAGAGTGAGCCCAGATTTGAATTTTCTGTTTCATGCTGCCTGTGTCTTCTGTCCTCATCCATCCTATGTGTCTGTTATATCAGTCTAAATCTGTACCTGCCTGAAGGCTGTCTTGTAAATCAATCCCTGTGTGCATCTCTCACAAAGGGCTTTGCTCTTATTGAGAAGCACAGAAGGCATCACATGGGGAAGGAATGATACTTAACAAATCTTTAACAGAGGTCTACAAGGGATTAAGTCAGACTCCAATTAACCCCAACTGACCCAGATAAACAATAGTGTTTGAAATACTGTTATCAAGCAATATTCAAATGTTGTGTCCAACATTTATGGTGGATTTCATTTTAGAAGACTGTTCTCAACTTCTGTATTTGCTGTTTTCAGCAACTGATCCATACACATGCATTACTCTGGGTCAAGGACATGGAGGAATATATAACTTAAAATTATAGCTATACATTGGGAATTCCAAGGGCAAGTAACTGTTAACAATGTTCTGTAAAAAGCTGGTTAAACAAACAGCTGAGTATACAGTAGGATAGTAGTCTTTAAGTCATAAGTGACCTCAGAGTATATGGACTCTGGCTGTGAGGTCCATCAAAAGTTGTAGTCCAGTCTCTAAGAATGTATATTTTTATAATATACATCATCACAACAAAAGGCAGAGGACTAATATTAAATATTACTTAATTAAAACAATGTCTACTGGCACATATAGAAAATGGGCTGATGGGATGGAACAGGACCTAGGTAAAGAGCTAAACGCATAAAGATATCAAGAGATCTGTCGTGCCTACATGTAGTCTCCAACTAGTCATGGAAAAGATGGGCTCTTCAGGAACAACTAGGTTACCCTCCAGAGAAAATAAGGTTGGTTTCTTAACATGTATTTTGTACTAGGATCCATTCCAAAGAATCAGAATTTTAAAATGAAAAAGCAAAACCATCAATACTTCAGAAAAAAAAATACTAGTGGACTACTGTCTTGGTCTGAAGTGAGGAAGACAGTCTATGAGTTGATAACAAAAATCACCAAAGAACTGGTAAATCAGACCATAAAACAGCCTGGTAAAACCATTAGAGCAAAGCCAAATAACACATTGGAAGAATATGCCACTCATCACACCTGAAGGGTTAATACTCCTAACAGGTGAGGTTCTAATAACCATGTGGTAAAAGTGGACAAAGACCACTAAGCAGAGTCAGTAGACTCCTTCATATATTAAAAGTTGTTCATTTTATAATTAGGCAAAAAATGAGTTATTTTAAATTTACATTCTATCAGAATGTCCAACTCTAGCATTCGAATACCATCTGATGGTGATGATGTTGGTGAGCAAGCACAGTTAAACTGTAGGCGGTGTGTAACCTGAACTAGCCTCTGTGCAGGGCAGAGTGAGTCAGTGCCTCTCAAAACTCAAAGTGTGTGCAGTCTTTCACTTTTGAATACTTACTGTAGAAATGTACATATACAAACGGGACATGACATGTGGACAAGGTCCAGAAACAACACAAATGCCCAAGAATGGTACTGCTCACTAAATGGGCACAGCCCATAGTACGGACTCCAAGCAACCACTAAAGTGAAAAAGCTACCTGGTGATATGTGGCCATTGAAATATTTGGTGATAAAAAGCAGACAGAGTGTGTGTGTGTGTGTGTGTGTGTGTGTGTGTGTGTGTATGTGATGTCACTCCAAGTAAAGATAGAGAAAAATAAGGCTTTATATTTGTATATGTTGGCATACTAAAAAAAAAAAAAAAAAGGTATGTTTGGAAGTACAAAAAGTCAAGGGGAGAGGTATGTGTGGGCACTGTGGAAAGTTGGGAAAACATTGTACTTTTGGCATAAAATGTGTTTTTTAATCATATGAATGTACCACTTATTCAGAAAGTCAAATAAAACAAGCTTTTTTTAAAAAGCTTACTGGCTCAATCCAAATCCAAGGATACCAAAGTTGCTACATTTTGATAGAATGGTAACAAACAGGCCATTACAAAAACGACACAAATGGCCTGCATTATCAGGAGAGGCTCTGAGTCATGCATTCTGGGGTCTCTTTCAGGCTCCACCACTGAGTTGTGACTACACTCAAACCCATCTGCTTTCATGCTTTAGCAAACAACAGTACTTACCACCTAGTATGCTGGTGAGAAGCCCTCAGCACAGGCTGCCAACTCCTGCCATCGTGACTACAAGAAGAGTCTCCCCACCACCAGACTATGCAGACACATAGTTTTCTCCCTAATTCATAAGTTATAATCACATTTCCTTGAAATGGAGAAGGAAAAAAAGCAACAAAAGATTGCAGAAACATGTATTTTAATTCATGGTCAAGATTCTGGTGGGTACAACAGTGACTTATTTGAAATTCTGCTCAGAAAACTCAAAGCTGTACCTGTAGATGTCATTTCAAATGAAGGACATGTGGATTTCTGTGCTTGGCTTTTACTAAGGAATTTCCATGACACTGTGTACCTGGGTCTGAGCCTTTTGGTGACTAGCTATGGCTTCTGCGGGAACTTCAGTCTGCAAACTGCTGAGAGGCCTACTGTGAACTGTTTCCAGATGTCCAGCTGAACACAATGCTGAGAAGAACAGCACAGTTGTCCTTCCTTATAGACAGTGGCACCTGGGCAGAGTTGAGAAATACGGCACAGCATTTCATACACACAATACAGGGGTCCGACATTTGACTTGTCAAGTTTCAAAACTGAGGTCTGGTTTTGGCTCCAGCTCCACATAATCAAAACAGGAGGAATACTGAACATTAACCATTTAGTATATATAACCTGTCTCACACAGATGCCATTAAAGGAAAATAAATGTAGGCCACCAAAGGAAAATACTTCCTCTTCTTAATGTTGATTATGCCATCAGGTGTAATCATTTCCGTCAGTTTTGTTGCCAGGTGCTAGATTTGCACAGTAAATGATAAGACACAGACAGCAAACATCTTGCTGCTCGGCTGTCAAGTACTCCAACTGTGTAAGAAGTGCTCACATTTCCCCCCAGCACTGGTAACAGAACTGGCAGACAGCCTCCTAAGGACCACTCATCACCAGGGTCAGCAAATGGCCTATGGTCTCTACAGTCCTCAGATATCATGGAAATGTAGACTGTGCACATAATCCTAATGACTGTAAAAGTTATCCAATAAATGTCAACTTCAAATACTTCCCTTATTGAGGAAATCCAGTAAAACCATGAGTACATTCTAACTTAACCATATCTTTTCAGCTTCCTAGACTACACTTTAATACTACTGTATGTCCTAAGCTAGAAACAAATCACAGTTAAGAAAAAGTCAGCAAGTAGAAATGAAGATTTTTTTCCCTTAAGCAAATAGTTTAAAACAATAGCATCTAACTACAGTAATGGTAAGTGACATTACCAAAAATGACCTCTGCATTTAAAATAAAAATAGACAAAGTGCAAAATTTTCACATTTCCTTACATTCTAAAGGGACACTACAGAACACTTCTTACTGATGTAGTAGCAAGGTCACTGCATTCACTTTGTAGACTTTTGTCTTACAGTGGTCCACTCCCATCATATGGTAACACTTGCAACTCTTTAAAAACAAAAAGGAAAACTGAAATCCTACCTAAAAAAATAATCAACCTACAAAATTCACCACTAGCAACAAAACATTAAGTTTATAAAGGTTAGAAATTAGGAGGGGAACAAACTAGTGAGGCCTCAGTCCCCATCACACCTCCATAGTAGATGACAAAGCATTGAGAAAGCGCAATGAACCAACTCAATAATCTGGCACACACCATGAAGTACAAGGAACATAGTTCAGACTTTGGCAGATAAGATGTGGGTTTAAGAGCACTTACTGTTTACTTCAGAAAGACGGAATCTAAGGAGAAGCAAGACTTTGGACTCCCATTACTTCCACACAGACAAAAGCCTTTCAAGTAATCCCATTATCCACTGCCACCTTTAAAAGAACCGAGTTTTAAAATATTTAAAAACTTTAAATTCCAGGTTTAGAAAAGACCGTCTAGGGCCTTCAAGTCCTCCACTGTCTTAAGTCACAACAAGGACAGCTGAATTGGGATGAATTGAAGATGGAGGGGGCAGGGGTGGTGACACTTGTGTCGAAACATCTCACCAGATAGAATTACACAAAGAGGTAGAGGATTGCATAGATTGTGTTCAAAATCAAATATTGAAAATGCTTACTTTAAAACAACAAAATTTGTGTATAATGCAATTAGCATTATAAACACATAGAATCCCATTCAAATTTTGTGAATAAACAATCCATTAAATAAATAGGGCTTTTCATAAAATAATTGAAAATGTTTATAATTAGGAGAGGAACAAAGAGAGAAGTCAGAAGAAGGGAAGTTGTAGGCTTTAGGTAAAGGACACTCCACTCTTGAGCCAGCCTGGTGTACACAGGACATCTGGCCAAGTGAGCATGGGAGGACACTTACCCACCTTCACCAAGGCAGGTCCCTTTAGGCCAAAACCAAAGCAGCAACAGCAACTAAATATTTTAAATGGTTGAAGTCCTGGGAAGTCATCCAGAACCTCTCTCACTAGTCACTGAAAGGCCTATTCATTATAGTGACAGCCCTGTATTACAGAAGATGACACACAGTGTTAGGCAAGGCTCAAACACTAACTACAGCATTGACAAATCTCTGTCACTGAGACCAGCCCTAGGCAGCACTGGTTCCCCAGTTCTTTTTCTATAACAGACTGAATAGTCTTCTCAGGATAGACACAGTCATTTAAAGTTTGACAACTAGGAATGAAGGGTAATACAATACAAACAAAACCAATGTGAAACAAACATGGGATTAGTATAATTTACAATTATAAAGTATATACTTCATTTATAAATATCTCTAGTTGATATTCTATTAAGGATCATAAATATTCAAGTGAACATTTGAATTTTCTCTTTAAGAGTTCAAAATTCTTGAAGTCTTAGACACTTAGTCTCTCTGCTCAATGTCCAAGGCTAAAAGGCTTCACACAGTCCATTATGTCTACGGAGACATAGAAAAGTCTTCATTACCTCTTGTGCTGCAATAACGCTTTAAAGTTCTGTAATTCTCTTATGCTTGTAGAAAGTCTACAGGGGGAAAACAAGTACATATTAGTGCTGATGTAATGTGCACACATTTCAAATAGCTGATACGGGACCCTTAAACTATATAACCTAGAAACAAAAATCTAAAAGAACCAAACACTGAACATTGAGAATTCCATTTTAAAGAGCTATGCTGTAACTCCTATTAAAAGTGACAAATCAAGGGCTGGAGAGATGGCTTAGAGGTTAAGAGCACTGGCTGCTCTTCCAGAGGTCCTGAGTTCAATTCCCAGCAACCACATGGTGGCTCACAACCATCTGCAATTCAATCTGGTGCTCTCTTCTGGCGTGTAGACAGAACACTATATATGTAATAAATAAATAAATCTTAAAAAAAAAGTGACAAATCAAAAGCTGGGCGTTGGTGGCGCACGCCTTTAATCCCAGCACTCGGGAGGCAGAGGCAGGCGGATCTCTGTGAGTTCGAGGCCAGCCTGGTCTACAGAGCGAGTTCCAGGACAGCCTCCAAAGCCACAGAGAAACCCTGTCTCAAAAGACCAAAAAAAAAAAAAAAAAAAAGTGACAAATCAAAAGGCTTTGGTTCTTTGGACTTGCTTAGAAAGACAAAAAAGCCAATTCATCTTCATATCAAGACCACTGATGAAAGTCAGGAGTGGTTGGTGCATGCCTTTAATCCCAGCACTCAGGAGGCTGAGGCAGATGAATCACTGAGTTTGGAGGCAGCCTGGTCTACATAGTGAATTACAGGACTGCCAGGGCTACAGAGAGAAACCATGTCTTGAAAACAAGACATTAACAAGAAGACTATAAATGAGTAATAGAAACAGTGCCATGAATGGCTCACAATATATGTTGTCTCCTACACAACAGGAAGTCACATTTATGGCATTGTGTAAGTGATTACTAGCTCAATGAATAAAGAGCTCAAGCCAGAAATAAAACTCTGGGTTGGGAAGAAATGAAAAACCTACAAGTTCATTTTTACTTATGTACAAATTCAGTGTTAATGTAACAATTCCAGTATTTCTCTTCTACAGTCTAGTGATACAGTGTACACTACTAACTACTCTTTTTCTTTACCTTAGTACTTGAAGAGTTTCTGTTTATTGAGCTTAGGGGATTCCAGACAATGATCTGAATACATCAAGTGTACATACTCAATTAAAGACTGCAACAACAAAAGGTAGCTAGAACTTTGCTTTTACATTTTAGGCAAAACCAGGTTCAAAACAAGTACTTTTCCAGGATCTCCAGTATGGTGGTTTGAATATAACTGGCTCCCATAATCTCACAGCGAGTGGCACTATTAGGAGGTGTGGCTTTGTTGGAGTGGGTATGGCCTTGCTGGAGGAAGTGTGTCACTTTGTGGGTGGGCTTTGAGGTTTCCTATGCTCTGGATACCTAACCCAGTGTCTCAGTTGACTTCCTGTTGCCTGTAAGATATAGGATTCTCAGATACTACTCCAGCACCACATCTGCCTGCACACTACCATGCTCCCCACCATGATAATGGACTGAATCTCTGAAACTGTAAGCGAACCAGCCTCAATTAAATGTTTTCCTTCATAAGAGTTGCCGTGGTCATGGTGTCTCTTCACAGCAATAAAAACCCCAACTAAGACACCCAGTTAGCAGGTGGGTTCTGAACAGGGAGCCAAGGTTTGCTGAGCTGTACTGTCAGCAAATAGGAAGCCAGGATCCCAGGACTCCAAACCCTTTTTCCTGGCCAGCTCCCCCTAGAGGGAAAACAGGCTCTAGATAAAGTTGAAGCTGAAAGGGGACATTTCTGAGAGCCAGTGAAATTCAGTTTAATTTTTCCTTTCTTAATTTAATTTCGTTTGAGCTTAAAATGTGTAAGTTATTTAAGATATTTTTATTTAAAATAATTAATATTTCACCTAGTTTTTTCTGTTATTTTTCTTTAGATGTCAAAAATGTGTAGGCTGAATGTTTCCAGAGATGTAAAACACCATCAGCTGCTAACTTGGGGGTTGCATCTCAATTAGCAAAACTATCTTTACATACAGAGAAGAGTTGGGCACAGCAGCTCACACCCTAGTATCACTGAATTCCAGGTCAGCTTGCATGAGAGCAAATCCCTGCCTAGATAAAAACAACTGTGTGAAGGAAATAGGCGAAGGCTTGACATTAAGACGGGACATATCTAAGTTATCTTTAAGTGATAGTCTCCTTTGAACTTAAAATCACACTAATAACACATACACATTAATCTGTCACTTGGTCCAGTTTAAAAATAAACTTTCTCCCATGATTTGACTTACTTTACCTTACTGTTACAACACAGCAAATTATTTTCTACCATTCCTTTCCTTTTCTCTTTAATCCTCAACACTGCATAAATTTCTCTGTAGAAAATTCAGATTATTTTTTAAAACCATTTCTGATATAAGAAACAAAGTGTGTGTGTCTATTTTTCTGATATATATGTGTATATATCTCATATATATGTATCTCATAAGTGTATATATGCATATATATATGTATATATCACAAAATGGGGTAGGAATGTATGGGAGAGGACTTCTCAGCTTAGGCAATACAAAGAAGAGAAAGGGTGTCATGTCTTTTACTACCTTCCCCATCACATTTCCCTTCTGTCTACTACCGTACTAAGCAGGCCAGCTAAAGAAGAGAATATTAGAATACTATTTCCTTCATGAAATTGAGAAACCAAACTGAAAGGTATTGATACTGGAAACTATCAATTCTCTCTGGGACTGACAGAGAACTGACTGTCAGACTGGAGACCACACTGATCAATGACATTTTTTGTTGTTGTTTTGTTTTGTATTTGAGAGAGACTCTTTACTACATAGGCCAGATTGTCTTTGAACTCATGAGCTGCCTTCCTTAACTTCTCAGGCTGGTGTTGAGAGTGTGCCATCACACACAGCATACCTTTGGAGGGGGAGGGACACAATCTTTGTAGCATATTGAAACGTGCAAGGCAAAGGTTGTCAGGTCTTGCTACAGGTGAAATTCTTACCTTCCAAAAGCATTTAAAAGAGCAACTATTTCCTGCCGAGTAAGCTGGAAGCCTTTAGATGGACTGTTCTCTGGAAGCTTCTGGATTTCTTTTTCAGAGAATAGTATCTTCAATGCAGTTCCTAAACCCTGAGTCTAAAGAAAATATAAACTTACAATTAACTTTACACAATAGTTACTATGAAGAACTGCTCTCAGTAAGGACACTGAAAACTGTAAGAGGGAGCTGGAGAGATGGCTCAGCAACTAGGAATGCTTGCTGCTCTTCATCCAGTGGCTCGTAATCACCTGTAATTCCAGTTCCGACACCCTCTAACTGGCCTCTGCGGGGGTGTGAGAGGTGCGTGCACGTATGCGTGCACGCATACACGCACGCGCACACGCACACACACCCCTAAATAAAAACAAGATAAATAATCTCTTTTGTTAAGCCCTATGAACTGAGCTTTACAACACAGTGCTGGACTATGCATGAAGCAGTGTCTACTCCCTCACAGATCACATGCACAAACAACAACACTGCTCAGGAAAACTTGAGCAATCTGATGCTTGTTGAATGTGTTTCTGTTCCAGATTACTAACATGCCTGTCTTCATCAACAGAACAGTATGACTTATAATCTTGAAAACACTACTTTTTTGGAGTTCTAGAGGATCAAACCCTGCTCTGCCTCAACACCCCAGACCCATTAAACACAGTTGTTCCATTTACAACCCTTAGCAACTCAAAGTTTCAAGAGTATTCAAGGTGCTCCTACATTAAGTTATTTCTTAAATTTTTATTTAAGCACAACTGCCTTTAAAATAATCCTATCTCATCAGCATTGTATATCCCAGCTGATGCAGAAAGATCACAAATTTGATGATGCCTTGAGTATAAAGCAAGACCCTGTCTTAGAAAAAAAGGAAAACACCCACATAAACAAAAATTAATTTTGACTTTCTGTACTTATCATCATCTTTGAAATAAAATAAGATGCAAAAACCAAATACTCCTCTGTACACTGAAGATTAAGGCCTACCCTACAGTACTTTTGTATTTTGTGCTAGGCAGTCTCACCACTTAAACCATGTCTAAAATTTGATGTTTAGAACTTAGGTATTTCAGTATGTATGTATGTATGTATATTTTTTCTATCCATAAACAACTTTAAAAGTGAATCTAAGATGGCACTGAGACACAGAATACAAAAATGTCCTTGCTCATGACTCTCCAGCACAATTTAGTAGCATTTTTCTTTCATTAACAATACAGAAAATCCACACTTGGGATCTGCTTGTTTCCAAACACGAATTTATTGAACAAAAAATAAATCTTGGTAAAAACTAAAGTAAGCAGAAAATGTAAAGCAGAAAAGAAAAGACAACATACACACCTGCAATTTTCCCCACAATCTGCATTTATCACATCCAACACAGTCCATGATTCGGGAAATGTTCTTGAAATGTAACCGGAATTCCTCCTAGTATGCAGAAAATACTGGAATTAGATTTGAAATTAAGCTACACTTGGTTGAATTACATATATAAAATAAAGTTTTGAAGTTTACAAGTGTTTTAGCTGCTTTTAGCACTAAAAATTCTGACTTTGTATACAACATATTACATTAAAACAACAGACATTAATAGAAGCTAATATTCACTGTGCTTATTGAACCCATTTTACTGACAAGGCACTTAACAAAAGGCTGGAAAGTTAACAATGTGAGGCCTTTACTTGTAAGAACTGAGCTGTGGCTTACGCTGAATAGCTTCTTAAATCTAGTTAGGGTATTTTCTCACAGCAACAGAAAAAGTAACTAATGTAAAATGTAACTCAGAATGTTGGCCCTAGATTAGATCCAGTTGTAAATCACTCTTTAATACCACACTGTGACATAGGTAATCAACAAGCAATAATCTCAATTTATAGCAAAATCTTATCATACTAACATCAAAATGTTGCACAACTGGAAAAATTTGGATGAATTAGATGAAAACAAGTCAGGATGTGAGGCACACACCTTTAATCCCAGCACTTGGAAGGCAGAGGCAGGTGGATTTCTGTGAGTTGGAGGCCAGCCTGGTCTACAAGACCAGTTCCAGGACAGTCAAAACTACACAGAGAAACCCTGTAAAGAAAAAGAAAACACAACAAATAGCTTCCACAATGCCCCCAATTACCTTTAATGACTTGGCCCCCTTTTTGTCACCTGCAAACATGGATTTCTCATCAAAGTGCATGGGAAAGGACCTGATGAAATGACAAGTTAACAATGAAAAATCCAAGTACCTGTCTTAGAGCTCTACTAGAATTTTGTAGCCCTACAAATATTTAAAGTCTGCTATTTATAATGTAGGAGGATGACAGGTCACATATATACTAATAAGACTGCAACAAGCTACATATGACTTTGTAATTTATAACACTGCAGTATCTTAAGGAGATTAGTAAAATTACTGAAAAGTGAAATGCAATCTCCAAGTATGCCAACACTCAATATTTTTGTATACTTTAATATGTAGTTTACTTTTAGGTCCTTCCTCAAACCTTTTCTTTCAGGTTTGTCTTAGCACCTAGCGGACGTGTTTAACAGACTAAGGATGATTTAAAAGATTACCTTACGTGTTCACTATATACTTACTATGACTCTATGCAAGTTTAAGAAGTAACAAATAATACCAAATTGGTAGAGCATTTCAACACTACATAAAATCTTCAGTTCTTTATTAAAATATATGTGGCCTATTTTCAAGCGCAAACACTTCTGCAGCCAAGCTTCAGGGAGGCTTTTTACTCAGCATCTATAGAACTACCACAGTAATTTTGCTCCCATGTTCCTCGGCTCTGCATCTCACTTTTCTAATGTCTGGAGGATTCCAGGACACTAACAGCCAAGTCTTACTTTGTGTCCTGGAAGATGCTGAGCAGCAGGGTCTTGGTATCAGCATCTTCTTCCAAGTTGCCAGTGTAAAGATCAACAATTGAGCGCTCAAAATAAGGGGCCACCTTTGACAAAGCACGAAGCTCAATCAAGTATAAAAAGTATAGATTCTTCAGCCTTCTTGGACCCTCCCCCTTGGTTTCCACGGGGTCAAAGCGGCGTTTAAACTCTTTGATGTTAGGTCCCCAACTAGGTTTACCCCAGGTTTCTAAAAAGAAAGAGAAATATATTGTCTTTTAGTATTAAAGGTTTTTTTTGTTTTGTTTTGCTCTACAGAATATGTATTTTACTTTCCAACACATTTTAGCATATCTTAGAAGTAAACCAGTCTCCATTTAAGAAATCTGATTACCTTCCAGAAGATAATTTGCACACAGATGTAAGTTGATGCTGGCATGAAGTCCTGATATAAGCTTATAGAAGACTCGTTTCTCAAGACACAAACCTATTCAAGAAAAATATGGAAAAAGAACCCACACCCATCAGATATAGAATATTTAATCAAAAAAGTCATTACATGGGTTTCAGGTTAATGTTTAAGAACACTGTTATGGCTGGAATATGCAGTGTCCCTGCAAGCTTAGGCTTGGGATGCTTGTTGCTCTGGTAGGGCCTAGTGGTGGGGGCAGGGCCTGAAGAGCAATATTATTCATGTCTGCTTCTTCCTGTCACTCTCTGCTTCCAGTCTTCGTAGCTGTCCTCTGCCACACATTCCCTGTCATGATGATCTTTTCACAAGCTCAGGGTCAAGCTGCTATGGAATGAATCCTCTGAAACACTGAGCAACATAAATCTCTATGTATAAAGTTTCTGTCAGCTAAAAATAACAGGCATTAAAAACAAATCAAGAGATAATATACAAACAATCAGATGGAGTTTCTCACAAGAAAACAATAAGATACCTGTTTCAGAATCGACTACTGAGAATAACTAAAACTTAATACACAAACACAGTGGATGCAGTCGGGAACTTCCTATGCTATCCAGAAAGATCTGCCCCTGGAAGGTGGCCCAGATACTACTAGATGCAACTGCCAAGTTCCTAGGCTACCCAGAAAGCAGTTGTACAGACTGTTGTTTAGACTAAAAATGTACTAAACACAACAACAATGAAGTCATTGCTTTGCCTTAGCAATAGCTGTGTCTTCCCATACCTTCCCTCTGTTCTTTCCTTGAATCTACTTTGTGGTGGAGAAAGAAGGGCCTTTTTCCCTGTGATGTTCTTATTCTAATGGTGTATCACTCTTTGTACAAGAGATAAAACCTAGAAAAAGACTCCCAGGAATTTTTTGGGAGGGGAGACAGATCTGTTGAGTATTTACAAGTCCCACCATAAGGAATTCAAGGACATGATGCAAGATCACTTCATATAGCTTCCTTAACCCATACAAGTTTCTGCTCAAAACTTATGACAAATACCAAATAACCCCATAATCCTACCCTACTCCTGCTACCCTGTAAGATTTTCTTTTATAGTAATATGCATTGTAAGTGCACTTAGTGCCACCAAATAGTAATCTTAAGAATGGCTAAGATGGGACTGGAGTGAGGCTCAGTAACCAAGAATATGCTTAGCATGCACATGACCCTGAGCTCAGCACTAAAGTCCAGGGAAAAAAAAAACACCACAGGCTAACATGGCTTTACACTGCACTTATTATGCCACAATAAAAATTTTGATTAATATTCCTTATAGAAATGTAAAAAAATGAAAATATACAATAAGAAATATAAATTATGATTTACTTTAGTGCATGGATGTTTGTTTGCATATATGTATATTTATTGTGTTTATGTGCCTGTGGAAGTCAGAAGAAGCATTGATTCCAAGGAACTGGAGTTACAGATGGTTGTGATCTGTCATGTGGGTGCTAGGAACCAAACTCATGTCCTCTGCAAAACAAAAACAAAAACAAAAAAACTAAACTAAACTAAACAAAAAAACCCAAAGCACTCTTAACCACAGAACCATCTCTTAGGACCTCTAAATAGAAATCTGTTAGATGCATTTTCTTTAGCACCCAACAGGTTTTTTTTTAAAACACACTTCCTACTGGGGAAAATGTGGACATTAGGGTATAATCTCATTTATATGCTGGGAGAATTTTAATATAGGAGTGACTATGTGGCTGACTGCTGTATCTTATCCAGGGCTCTCAGATCATTATTTACTCTATGTCTTACCAGATGGCTCTGAAACAAACATCCTCAATAGGAAAAACTATTGAGATATCATTCTCTAACTCAAAATGTTGTAAAGACCAAAACAGAGATTAAATTTTTGTAGCTTTCTCCAAAAAGCATATGGCCAACTTTAAATGTCGGTAACAAGGGCTACAAATAAAATGAAGATATTTACTAAAATATTATGTACTAACTTCAAGAAAAATTTTCATTAAATATATAATCAAGAAGAAAAATGGTCAAATTTGAGGTCCAGTTTCTATTCCTTTCAACCTACCTGTATAAGCAATGTTTCTGTAAGTAAAGCAAAATTTATGAAAATTCGCAAGCCTAAAAACCAGGGCCTGGAAAACCAAGAGGAGTTTCTATTTGCAAAGCTTACAGAGCCTGTAAGCTGGAAAAGGGCAGGTACAGTTAGGAAGGTGGAGAGGAAACTTGCTTCTGTGAACTGGGTGACCTCAAACAAAATGCTGGTATCAAAGATGTACTAACTGACTGCACCAATAAGACAACACTGGGTGGAGGTACTGGAGAGCTTTTATCCCAGCCTGGTGTCAAGTGGGTGGGAGGGTCTATGCCTGTGGAGAGCAACCTCTTGCTCTGAAACAACACAAAAAGCCATACTGCCATCCTACAAAAGCAATTCCATCAACTTCTAGTTCTAATAACATATAGCAAATTAGACCACCCAATGTAGAGAGATCTCTTCTAGATTTAATGGCATTCAAATTAATTTTCAACAATTGGTTTAGGAGACACTGAATATATGTAAACATGTTTCTCACACGAGTGCTAGATTTTCTACTGTCATGGACAACTGTTCTGCATCTGAATATCTCTTGGCTGTTTTCAAGGAAGTCTCACTGGAATCAACTCTACTAGCAGTAGAGTTGTCACTTTCGAGATCCAGGTGAGGAAAAAAATCTCAGAAGAGACAGCCAGTTTCCTGTGACTAGAAGGGCTATCTGGAACCACATATTCATATTCAGGAACTCCAAGAAGCTAGTAGAGTAGTTGATGCACAGTACCTAAGGTCAAACACAGAGACTCCATTCTCCTCCATTATCAACATTCAAGTGTCTACTCTCTGAATCTCAATCAGGAGTATCCAACTTGTGGCTCATGTGTAGCATGAGGATATCTATAAAATGCAGCCCAGTAGTATGCAGACCCCAATATCATGTCACTGTGTTAAAATGTTGGACGCCCAATCTTAATTACTTTACATGATGCTCAATCTTTAGAGTAGACTTATTAAGTTATGAATCTTCTACTAAAGGTCATTTGCCAACACAACAGTATTCATACATGTTCACTTGAAAATTACCAATATATACATAAAAGTGACTAACAACAAACAGAAATTATGTTCATAAGAAACACAGTCAATTAACAACTAACAGAATCAACTACTCAAAATTTAACACTTTGCTGGAAGTTTATGGCCATGAAACATTGATTTTCTTCTATCACTCAACTTGCTAATCTTTCACTACTATAAAACAGTATAGCATAATTTCAAGAGCATCATACTCCCAGTTATTAACCAAAGCTGTTAAACTCCTAGATCATTGAGTTTTTAATTCATAACATTTTATATTTCTAATATGGAAAATATTAAGAATAAAAAATATACTGTAAAATATATTGCTTTAAATTTTAATTAGATAAATATGGGCTATATTGAACATGGGTATATATGTAGAGTCCTCTGTATTTAATTCACTTTGCCTTGTTTTACACATCACAAGTGCTTCCTTACTAAGGGAAACATCTCCACTTTACAAGCACACTTGTTTGCTGCTAACTAATAAAATGTGGATAACATAGGTTAACACCGAGAAGCCAGTTAGGAAAACCTAATAACCTATGTAGCCTATATATTCATTCGGTATTGATTTTTTGGCTGCCCAATATCCTCGAGATTTTCACGTAATTTTACCACAAAATATAACAAACTAAACCATGTTATTTTATTTCAAATATTGTTAAGTATCAGTTGTATAAACAACCACAGATAAAAAGTTTACCTTCTAGCCATGTATAGAATGATTCTCCTTAAAAAAAAAAAGAATTTGGTTAAAATATTTTAAATATTCATGTATAAACAACAATTCAGGTCACTTGAGGACTACCTCCAAGAATATCTACTCCTTTAGACTAAACAGTAAAATAAGAATATGTTTCTAGAAAAGCCCATACATAATTTAAATAACTCTGGAGAGTGTCCTTACAGATATTTTAATTATTAAAATATATGATAAAACATTTCAGTGTAAATGCTAAAATACATCTTATTCCCTGAAGGTTTAAATGCAAAAGGAAACAGTTAATAAATCTGTCTGAGGTAACTAACAATCAATCATAGTTTTTAATTACCATCAAACTACAAATACAGAAATTAAATTATAATTACTCAATTTTTCCTAATCTAATAAAGCTAGGTATGTTTCCTTAATTATCTAGGAGTAAATTTCAGAGGATAATTTTCAATGTAATTCTTGCTTAGAGTGGCTGTGACTCATCTGTATAGTACCTAAGATGTCCTTGGGACGGAGGGGAAAGTGGTAAGAAACACAGCTTGTTCCAGAGCAGCAGTTAGTTCCTGAGGTCTACTATATAGCGTGCTGACTAGAGTTGGCAACAAATTGTTGTGTTCTTATAAACTGTTGAGAGATTTGAAGTGTTTCTGCTACAAAAAAGCTAAGTATGTAAATAAATACATACAGCACCAATCTTGTTTGAAATTTGCTTCAAAACACTGCTGATAAATGTATACAACTTTGTTACTAAATGAGAGAAGAGCCCTTTCTGGCTCAATAATGTTCTTCTGAGTTAGGGAGGGAAAGAAAGGGGCGTGTGGCTGTACTTCCTGAAGAATGACAGAAAACCCAGCCCACAGAGGCACTGCCTAGTCTCAGGGCTAAACTGTAGGAGCTCCTCTGCCTCCTGAGTGCCACCCAAAAACAGCAGACAACTTTATGCCGTCATCCACTCCATCCACCCTGGCTAAGGACTGTTACTATCTCACTTCCTCAAATAATCTAAACTGCCTGCTCCCATTTGACTGAGAAAATGGGCCTCTTAACCCATCCCTTTCGCTGACTTCAGTCTTTCCCACTGCAAACAGGTCACAAGGGACACACTGACTTACTGTTCAGCACTCAGGTTCATGCTATCTCCTCCGACAAGCCTACACTAGCTAATTCTACTGATCTTACGCCCACTCCTTTAATTCAGAATTCATCTTAAAGGCCCCTTCTTCCAGGCAGCTTTTCTCATCATGTCCCATCATGTATGAGGTGCTCTGTTTCACCCTTTACTGAGTTACACCTGCTGGGGGTGCTGTGTATGAGTTTCTGAATGTTGTGTCGGCTGTGTATTACATTTGCTTTCCTCTGGGCATTCTTTGCTCACAGAGGGAAGGTGTGCATTTTATGCCTCCTCCCAGTCTGCATAATACTACTGAACACAGGTAAGGAGACAGCAACTGAAATAATTTTCTGGCTGTTTCATAGCCAGATCCTAGTAAATAGTCTTCATGAGATTAAGCACTATATTGAAAAATCAGAATGTAACTTTCAAAGGCAGTAAATAAAGTCACAAACTCTCTGATAAAAAATAACTTTGCTACATTTCCTCAAAATCTTCATGTAGATTTAGAGAAAATTATTTTTCATTGTGTATGTGAGTGGAAGGTGGGGTTCATGAATGTCACAGCATGTGTGCAGAAGTCACAGGACACCTAAAGGGAATCTGCTCGCTTTTTCCATCATATGAGTCCTGTGGATTTAACTTGGGTCATCAAGCAGGGCAGCAGTGTCTTTATCACCAACCTTCAAGATTTTGTTAACAGAAAATGCAGAAAGTGGTCCTACTTTCTATACTAAACATTTTGGTAAAATGGTTTCTATGCTTTTTTTTAACTTTAAGACAACTTTGTTATTTTTAAAAATTTCATTTTTGATGACCATTCATCATTCATTTTGAAAAAATAGGCCAAGCCACCTGCTTTTGGTGAAAAGCAGAAAAACACCAAAAATTAATAATAAAAAAGTTTCTTCCATGGTTGAAGTAAACACAAGTTTCAACTCACCATCATCTTTCCCTAAAGGAGAAAAGAGAAAAACATTACAAAATGCCTTACTCAGGATTCCAGCCCTGCTAATGTTAATGCACAATTTATCCTCACTGTTAAACTTCACTATACCATAAACTCTGATCACTACTGCAGGCATCTTGCAAATAAGAGCCTTGTCTGCAGGCCAAAGAGTACAAGATTCCCACATTCTACAACACAAGCAGGGGGAGTTAGGAGACAGGAAGAAACTGAGAAGGGAGAAGGAACTGGGCCTGGTGACACTTGGGAGGCTGAGGCAGAGTCACTCACTGAGTTCAAGGCCTGGGCTATAAGGTCAGTGCTAGGTTGGGGTGGCCGCTCAGTGACTCTGGGGAGCTGCAGATGTAACTGTGCTAAAATGTTAAATGTGCACAAGGCCCTGGGTTCCATCTCTAAGCACAGGAAGCAACAGAAGTGGCCAGAGGTAGGTAGGCTCAGTCCTTATCAAACATACAAATATCCTTCAGCCCCCTGCCCTCCCCGTCCTCCACCCCCACCCCACCTCTGTGGCCAGGATAGTTTCCACACTGGGTACTTCTCTAGATTACTCTTGCTCAGGCAGCCTGAAGGAGAGGGTCAAGGACACCCTCCTGGGGTGGAGAGCCCCAAACGCTGAGCTGACTCCACTGCTCTTCGCCTTTGTTGCCTTTGCCTGGCAGATTGTGATGGGAAAGTTTATTTTTCAGAAACAGGTTCTGCTGCTCAAAGACTTTTGGAATAATAGTTATAGAAGCCTAGAGCTGACACTGCTTCAGGAATACAGTGGAACAAACGGCTGAGCAGGCAGAGCCCTCTTCCACCATATCAATAGAGAACCCTTTAAGCTTTAAGCCCACCTGGCAGCCAGAGCTGCCGGCTTCCTTTAGCAGCTCAGAAGAACTGTACTCACTCTCACTACCTTGGCTTATCTTTAACAGTCTTTTCCATCTTTTCTTATCCCCCCATCTTTGCAGCAGATTCTGGTTTAATTTATGGGAAATGGAAACAAAGTGTTTCTTTGGATTTGACATATTTTGTTAAACAAACAACTGTATTTTTTACTTTGAAACAAAGTAACCACATAAAAGGTCGGAAGAAATGCCTTAACTATAACAGGAAACAGAAAGAGATATCCTAATTGCCCTTCATACAGCTTCCATGGTGTCAATTTTTACAACATTTTGTGTAGTTAAGACATTTAGGTTGAAAACATTAAAGTTATGTAAAAACAGCAAGAGACAAAAAATAAGAAGTCATGACCATTCAGCTCACAGTCCCAATTTTTACCAGGCAGTTTCAGAATGAGCTTGGAGAACAGCATTTCACCTTGACAGAGCCATCATCTAAAAGCTTTGCTTACATTCAACCACTCCATATCTACTTGGGCCTCCGGCCAGAAGGAACAAATCTATCTAGAAATTTCAACTTTCTAACTCAGTCCTGGTCTAAACTCTAGAATGGCAGGTAGGTCAGCTAAGGGGCAATCCCAGGGATTAGCTGCTCCTAGATAAGAGGATGAAGATGTCCCCACTAACTAACCACAGCATGCTACACCAAATGAACAGCACATTAGCTTACATGTACCTTAAATAGCTATGTGTTTACAGTAGGAAGTGTGTCTGACACTACAACTCTAGTATCATGTGCTGTGGACTAAGAGTTCTGTTCAAACATGGAGGTTCTATATGGTGACAACAGCAGCTAACACTGCCACCATCTTTACAATCAAGTAAACTAAACTTAATGTAAAATTCAGGTTCATACTTATTATACAAACACATAATGGTCATCTGGTAATTGGCCACTTTGTGGCACAGTGAAGGGACTGGAGCAGTGTTGAGGGATGGCAGCCTGAGTCTCGTCATCCTTCCTGTGCAGAAAGAGTATGGTGCATGGGTCGGCACTTCAGAGAACCTATTAGATAGGTCTCTGGTGGGGCCCAGCCTCTTTGTGCTGTGTGCTTACCTGGCTCTCAGGTAACATGTGCACTGTGGAGAAGCTGTGATGAACCCCCCAACTCTCCACTTTGGGTTGCACATCATCAACTAGAACAGTGGTTCTCAACCTGTGGGTCAGGGGTCACATATCTGATAGTCTACGTATCAGATATTTATATTACAATTCGTATCAGTAGCAAAATTACAGTTATGAAGTAGCAATGAAAATAATTTTATGGTTGAGGGTCACAATAACATGATGAACTATATTAGAGGGTTGCAGCATTAGGAAGGTTAAGAATCACTGAACTGGAGTGTTTAAAAACATGGGGACTGGGTCCTTATTCTCTGACTTCTTAACTTACTATTGTGGGGCAGGACCTGACCCTCCAGAGTCTGAATTTCTCAGGAGATCTGAGGTATGTACTGATCCCTCACATCTTCTCATTTATCCTACACCAGGTTCCTAGTTTAGGACCTAGCATAGCGCTCCAGTAGACATCTATCCTATCAACTCATGCTTGTGTTAATCACTAAAATTAAGCAAAATGTAAAATTGCTGATTTACTTTTCTACAATTTGAAAAGCATGAAATGTATGGAAAACCCACCTCGGCTGGGTGCCAGAGGATTTAAAGGACGATACACAGAGCGAGGCCTGGAAAAGAGTACAAAGCTCGTGTGAAAGTCTGGCTTGTTATATATCACCTTCCCCAACAGAAACAGACACCTGCCCTTCCTTTGACCATTACTTGAAGCAATTTTCTTCGTAGATGCTGTTCCACACCCTCCAAGCCGAGGAGCCCTTATAGCCGGTGTACCGCTCTGGGTTCAGCAGCAGGTCCACATATTGTGCAGCAGGAGAGCGTTCATCTGCCAGGAACAAGTGGGAAGGTCACTCAATATCACCACTCACAAAGCAGCGACTCCCAAACCAGAGAAGTGCTTGGTTCAAGTCACCTCCAGCTCACACTGTTGGGGGTTAACCCCTGTGACCGCACATGACCCTAAATTTGTAGAACTTAGACAAATTACTCAGAGATGAAAGAACAACTTCTTCCTTTCTCTGGCTTCTCAAAGTTCACTCAAGTAATGTAACATTCTCTACCTTAGTTATAACCACCCAGGAACAAAAGTTTATTTCTATAATTATCTATCTCAACACAGACTAGGAAACACTATTTTGTTACATCTTATATTACAAATAATTTTCCATTATTCTTTACAGAATAATTAGGTCATTAAACTTTTTTTGAGACAGGGTTTCTCTGTGTAATAGTCAGGATGTCCTGGAACTCACTATGTAGAGACTAAGATAGCATCAAACTTTCAGAGATTCACCTGCTTCTGTCTCCCAAGTGTTGGGATTAAAGGCATGCACCACCACTGCCCAGCAAGCTTCCTCTTCTTTTCCTACCTGATAGTGTACTTGTCATTGAAAAAAATTCATTAGATATTCAATGACTACTAGCCCCACAATCATAGGGGAAACTAGCAACGTGACCCACACCCTTGAGGCCTACCTGCTGCTAAGATGATATAGGAAGAATATAAAGGTAACAAAAAATTGTCATTATTAAATAGACTGAATATAGCAGAAATAATGGAAACATGATTTTACAGAATGCAAGACCTTATCTCTAATCCTAATCACAAAGATACTGTACTACACAAATTTAGGCACAGGAAATAAGTTACAACTGGATATACAAACACAAGTGATTTAATTTGAATTAAAATCATTAATTTTAAAAATCCTAATAAAAAATCAAAGTTCAAGTCATGAGGATTCTAAAAACATTGCTCTTAAGGCTAAGAATATACAGGAAGTAGCTAAGTGGTAGAGGGACTTGTGAAGGTTACTAGTTTTAATTTGAACAGTTTTTAACCATATCTAATAAAAATAAATTTATAAATCTCAGGATACAGATTGTTCACATAAACCAAGTCCAAATTTCTTGACTGTTCTGTTTCCTCTTGTCACTGTGTCAGGGGCTCAGACTGACAGAGTGACACAGAGGAATTTTTTAAAATAAGCATGCCTGGGTCTAGTAAAGGACGAGTCATAATCCAATTCTGGAGCCAGCTTTTCAATAAAGAACAGAAGATGTGGTTTTTTTTTAATACCTACAAACACAAACTGTAAGAAGAAAAAAGTTTACTTTTTCTTTTTTGCAATTAAATAATAAGAATTGTTAAAAACTTATTATGTAATTTCTGTTTTTTTCCAGAGTAGAAAAAAAGACAAATTTACTGGGTACACTTCAAGGGAGCAATGGCCAGAGCAGGAGCAGAATGGCCTGCCTCATTTATTTCTAACCTCTGTTATCTTTCATTTTTAAAATTTTATATATGGGTATTTTGCCTGCATGTATGTTTACATATCATATGTATGCAGTTCTCCCAAAATCCAAAAGAGGGTATCAGATCCCCTGCAACAAAATGGACAGAGAATTGTGAGCTGCCACATAGGTGCTGGGAATTGGAACCCAGATATTCAGGAAGAGCAGCCAGTGCTCCTAACTGCTGATCCATGTCTCCAGCCCCAGTTATGTATTTTAATTGTTTTTAAACTCATCTTTAAAGCAGATTCAATTATATATAAAACTTCTCAAACATCACTGAATATCATCCATGTATTCTCTGATATAAACATGTGTGCATGCATACATACATACACACACACACACAAACACACACATTCTTTGAGTGTGTACTGTGAAATTAAACACATTCAGGGTCTGCTATGAATGTGTGGGTAGGAATAGCACCAACCTCCTCACCACGGGAAAACCCACTCAAGAACTATAAAAGAAAGAGATCCTGACATCAAACCACAATGATTTACAAGTAGGTCAGCAATGTAGCTCAGTGAAAGCATACTTGCCTAGCATGCATGTAGCCCTGAGTTTGATAATAAGCACCAGTTGTGTGCGCGCACACACATATACACACAAATCATCTAATAAAGTATTTTTAAAAATTTTTTAAGTGTATAACCAACTTACATTAAAGAAAGAGCTCCTTAAATAAAACTTTTGTTCTTGATCTTCCTTCATTTTAAAAATCTTTTACTACTTTTTCAAATCATGCAAATGGTAGGATTTGTTAACTTATGCAAGGGGGTTGGCAGGCTACCTAATGGCTGAATGTGGCATGCTGCTAGGAAGGACAGTGTCCTGGACAACCACAGAGCCTGTGTTCAAGTGCTGAGGACCTGAGAGTGTGCCACAGATACAGAGTTGACAAATCCCCCAAGATCTCTGATAGTTTCTGAAAAACCTATTCAACTCCCAACCCACACTGATAAAGAATTCCTTCTGTCCAGAGTGAGCAATGCAGCTAATTCCCCCAGTGGTGTCATGGCCATACTCCCCTCACTCAGGCTAGATATGACATTGATTCTGACTAATTCAAACAGAAATTGTATTCTTTACACTGGTGTGGCTTGTAACCCCTATGACCCACTCCCTGAAAGTTTCCTTCCCTCTACAAAGCGATCTTTTCTATTTGACCATGCTAAGCACAGAGATCAGAGGATAACCTTGCCTCTACCTTGAGATAAGGTCTCCTACTGTTCACCATATCCAGCTTTATGTGAGTGCTAGAGATTCAAACCCAGATGCTAGAGCTTGCAAGGCAAGTGCTTATACACTGAGCCATCTCTCCAACCTTGAGTAGAATTTTATGAAATACCTCTTTTGAGTATAATATATATTCACAGAATACATTAATATGAAAGTCTCTGAAATAATTATGTTTGATTTTTAATGTAAAAATGATTATAGTGGGCTTTGTTTGGTTGGCTCATCTTTTGTATGAAGATCTCATGTTGCCAGACTAGATTTGGCTTCTATGTAGCCAAGGATGACTTTGAATTTCTGATCCTCCTTCCTCCATATCCCAAGTACATGGATCACAGGCATGAGTGATGGCACTAAGAAGTGCTTCTGGCTGGGCGGTGGTGGCACACACCTTTAATCCCAGCACTGGGGAGGCAGAGGCAGGCGGATCTCTGTGAGTTGGAGACCAGCCTGGTCTACAAGAGCTAGTTACAGGACAGCCTTCAAAGTCACAGAGAAACCTTGTCTGGAAAAACAAAACAAAACAAAAGTGGAACTTCCTATTTGTTAAAAAAAAAAAAGTGCCTCTGGTGTTAAGTACTCAGCATACCTGAGTGTCAACCAGAGCAAATGAAAGAACAATGATGTAAAATAAACAGTGACAACTACTTGAGGTATTTCCACTCGAGAATAGAGGGCAGCAGCCACAGAAGGTGGCCCTGACAAACCATCAATTCTAACCATCACAATGGGAACATTTCGCACTGCACTGGTTGTACATTTGTACATCCAGATAATCATGGTAACATTTTAGCTCTCAGTTCTCATCTTAATTCTGCTACAGTGTGAGCCCTCTGTAACTTACTCCATCTTAATGTGCACCACAGTTCTGTGTGGTCTGAATTAGAATGGCCCCCACAGACTCAGATGTTTGAATACTTGGTTCCTGATTAGTGGAACACTTTGGGAAGGATCAGAAAACACCTTGCGGAAGGAACTGGGTGGCTGGGGGTAGGTTCTGATGTTAAGAGACTCCAGACATCCCTGGTGTTCCCTCTCTCTGTCTTGTGATTGAGGATTGAGATGTAAGCTCTCAGCTATTCCTGCCACCATGCCTTCACTCCACCACCATGGACTCCAACCCTCTGAAACTGTTAAGTCCAATGAAATGCTTTTTCTTCTTAATGTTTTCTTGTATAAGCTGCCCTGGTAGAAGTGTTTTATCACAGCAATAGAAAACTAAGACACTCTAAGAATCCTATTCAAATCATTACAAAGTAGTATGACCACCTTAGAACCCTAAAGGGCTTGGAAAGTTTCTGTTGTCAATTTCCATCTTTGTAGGTTGAGTCTCATGTTCTTCCCTACTTCCCACAAGTTAACACTGCAGTAAAAACTGAAGAGAGGCTAAATAAGTGATCTGAATGCATAGCACAGTGGAAACATTCTCAGGCAATTTTGTTACTGTAATTTTCCTCTGCTAAGAGAAACAAGTGGTAGTTACGTGTCTGACCCCTGTCCTGCCTATGTACCCCTCCAAGGTATAGTTGATAAGAGGGCGAGAAGTCAGAGACCTCCCTACTACTGCAGGAATCATTATGGTTTATTGAGACCTCCACCAAATTTTCATAGCCTGCTCACAGAACCAAGTGATTTGAAGTGAAGGCTCACAGGAGATGTCATGCTGGAATGTTAATACAGGCTTGGGACTCAGACCTAGGACTGAACCATGCCTCAGTCTCTTGCTATTATGGGATCTTGGGCAACTAATTTGATTTTTGAGGCTAAAGTTTCTCAACCATGGAACAGAACATATCTAAGGAAGCTATAAAGATCAGAAAGATAACATCTATAGCACTTAGCACAGGGCCTCAAATATAACTCTCCCAATTAATTCCACTATCAATGGTAAGGTCTCCACAGAGAAATCCAGAGTTAAACACTAGTTTAGGCCATATTTTCAACAGTTTAGATGTCTTACAAAAGGCTTCAGGTTAAAGTGGTAATGACAACTTATTTTATTACCATCAAGTTCACAAAAGTGATCCTGTGAGTCATCATATCTCGCCCAGTCAATGAATGCTTCTTTGGTTTCATTACTATGGGAAGGAAGAATAAAAAACAATTATATTTGGAGCTGAAATTTTAACATTGTATTCTAATGAACAAAAGTAGAGATCATTTCTTTAGAAGATGATGCCACAAATTCTAGCAGTAGTTAAATGAAGGAATGATAAAGTCATATGAAAAACAGCTATCAATTTTGATGAGTTGTTTATATTTCCTATCTACTTTAAAATTATTCTTAGCCCTAGTTAAGTAATTAATTTGAATTTAATTTACAAAATATACAACAAGCACTTTACATACAAACTCAAGGTGACCACTTCATCTAACAAACTACAGTAAATGTTATTTCTTTCTAAAGTAGAAGTTCAGCTTGTTTTCTGAATTCTTTAAATTTAAGTTGCATCTATACTTATAGAACCCTCAAATACCAACACCCAAATAGCAAAATTATAACCCCAGCTATGGGAGGCAGAGGCAAGCTGAGTTCAAGGCCAGCCTGGTCTATAGAGTAAGTTCCAAGACAGCTAGAGTTATGCAGTTCTCTGTATAATCTGCCTTGGGAAAAAACGAGTCACTGATGATAAACAAACTAAGTACAACTAAACTTGCCTTAATGTACTATTGATGGCACCCAGCTTGTTAGCCTGCTCACAGTCTTCCAATTCTTTGGTATTGTTTGCTGCTTGCAAGTACTACAAGAAAATTCATACAAAGTTAAGTGACAGTGATTAGCTCTTCTTTAGCAGGCAATCTATCAATGATGACATATTCTGTCATCAAAATCCTTACTGTAAGAAAAGACTTAAAAGCAAGGCGTGAATTTTACCCATTAAGTGAGCAAAGGCTTTCAAAATACAACAGGTTAGCATGTGTGTGCTGGTGATGATGTTCACCTGGGAAAGAAATTGGATTAAATATGTACCTAGAGTTTTACAGACACTAAGTCCTTAGAATGGAGTCTTCAACTTAGACCATATCCCAAGGAATTTTTTTATTACTACCATCTTAGTGTTTTGCATCATTTAAAATGCTGAGATACAGATCCTATTATCTAGCATCTCACTGCTATACACAGTACTAGGGAACTTTCATGTGCACACAATGAAGCCAGAGGCAAAAATGTCTGTGCTTCACTGCACGAGCAAAGACCCAGAAGACTGAAATGCTCACATGCAGGGTGGCTACTGTTAGTCACATATGCACAAGATCCAATGTGTCAACAGAGAAAGAGGTGTAGAAGGAAACACAATGAGCCAAAATGTAAAATGAAAATTATTTCCAACTTGAATTAATTTTACTAAAAATTTTAACTTTCCATAAAATAATCTGTATATTGTACTGCAGATACATGTTCTGAAAGTGCATTATTTATAGACAGATACATATATAGTAAGAGTAGACGCACATAAGTCACTTCAGGAAATGAATTGCTCTGGAGAGGAGGAAGTAAAATGGGATTAGAATAGTGTTCAGGGGGGTTGGACTATCTCTATACTGCTTTATTACAGCTCTGAAACCGAAGTAAACAAGCAAGTGAACATCAACAATGCATGGAAGAGAAGGATAAACAAGGAGACAGTACACAAGAAGGCAGAGAGAGAGTGGAAGACCTTCCTTGTGTATATGCAGCAGTGGAAAATGAATTAACTTCCAGCTAAGAACACCGCTTAATCATTTAAAAAAAAAAAAGCACAAAGAACACCTTAACACCATTTCCAAGTACTTGGCTCAAAATATTTTGGTAATAACTTTCTTTTTACAATGTAATTTGAATCTAACAGAGACACTAACTGAAACAGAAGACTAGAAATAGCTACTAGTATTTTTGTTGAAGTTACAGTTTATAGAGTTTTTTTATCTAGAGATTCTGCAAATGAATGTAATTTCAAAAGAAGCTAGGCATGCATGGCCTCACTGCTTGATTCAGGAGTTAACAATTTGATTTCTGAGGCCAAGTGCCTCCATTCTCAGCTAAATTCATGGCTCTCTACTGCCCCCAGTATGCAGAAGTATTCAAGGAAGAAAACTAACTTACCTTATTTGAATGCCCAGCTTTAATTCCAACTGGAATTTTACTCTTAAAAGAAAAAGAGCAACATTACTCAGAAGACAAGCAGAAGGGATGGCTGTTATCAGGGGAAAGGAGGGGAACAAAAGGAAACTGATCTTAAAATGCATATGTATGAGTGTTTTGCCAGTATATATGCATGAACACCATGCGTAAACCTACTGTTTGTGGCAGCCAGAAATAACAGGTATTGGATCCCCTGGAACTATGGTTATGGATGGCTCTGAGCTACCACATGTGAGTGCTGGTCCTGTGTAAGTCAGGTCCTTGTGTAAAAGCAGCAAATGCTCTTAACCCCTGAGCCATTTAGAGAAGAAAAAAAGAGCCACGAAACTCTATTTTAAGTTGGATTTTTCTCACTTCATGCACTGAAATCCCCATTTTAAATGTGAAGTTTAAGAACCTGAACTTTTCTTTTTGCCTTTGAAACAAGATCAATGAAGCCCACTGCAGGCCTAATCCTAGAATAAGCCTGTGGTCTTCCTCCCATTTTAGAATCAGTACTTATGTTCATACCCAATCAACACCAATGAATACAAGAATTCTTCAACTCATCTTTGAAGGAGTCTAGTCATAAGAGCTGATAGCCTATGAAGTCTGAGAATAAGTCAAAATATAAGGATACAGGGGTTGTGAATTTTTTAAAAGCCCAAGAAGAAGCCTCCCCCCAATTATTATACTCTTACTTACTGTACCTCTGGACAAGGCTCCACATGACAGTCTTTTATTGAGCAATGGCCATCTTCTGCCCAGAAAGGACATGGTCGCTTCAGATTAACCTTTCAAGGAAGAACAAATCAGCATTAGCAATTGGTTATGATAATTACAGAATATTTGCCAATGTCACTATGTTGGACATGGTGACACAGTAGTGATGAGAAGGGAGAAGCTTCTTGACCCTGTGGTGTGTATACAGTTCAGATATTAAATGGCTACAGCTCTGCAGGCACCTGGGTAGCATGTTAACTTCTAAAACAAATGGTTATGGGTTCTCTGACATTGCAAAAGAGGGACAGCATTCAAGCCCACTGCTCATCTGAAGCACATTTGTCACTGGGCAGCATTTCAGAATGACTTTAACATTCCCCAAACACCTACCACCCTCCTTTAGTCAGTATGTACTGAGTACTGGCTATCTGTCAGACACCAGGTTAGGCTCAAGGCAAAAGAGAACTTTTTCTCCCTTGGACTTATAATATATTGAAAAGAGAAATTAAATACTCACACATTTATTTCATTGCAAATAATAGTACATGTTCCAAAGCAGAACCCAGAGTTTTGTAATTAATGATGCTAATAGATGGAACCTCTGAGGTGGTCATGCTTTAAGAAAACAAAAGATGGGGGACATGTGTATTTGGCTACAGCAATGGAGGAGAGCTTTGTGATGCTAAGAATAAAGAACCACCAGTTCCACCATTTTTAGTGGGGAAAGTATGAACAAAAAGGGCAGAGGTCACAAGGTCAACACTTATTTCCAAATTCTTTATACAACAGGAAACTGATAATCCAACAAGACTTAACAGACGTATTGCCCAAGCTAAAAATCAACGTTTTCTGTTTCTCTCTTCCTCTACCTCCCACCACCACCATTTGTCTCTTGCCTAAGCTACTGCAATAGTTTCCCACCTTCTGCCACTACCTATTGCACAAAGCAACAGTTACATCAAAAACAAGCAGACCCTTCCATTGTCTGCTCAGAACTCTTCTTGTGCATTTTTACCTCCCTTGGAGCAATCCAACCCTGCAGCAGCTCTACAGGCACTATTCTGTAACCACTGTCATCTGCTACCTATCTCATCTATTATATGACATTTCTACTTGACATACCAGGTTAAGTCCCAAAGCTTCTGTACTGCCCATTCTCTTTATCTGCTATTGCTCCTATAGAGGGCCTGTACCTCCATCTTACTCAGGTCTCTCAGCAGCAGCAGGACTTGACTAGACCCTCTAAAGTAGTATTTGAATGTAACCACCCCCAATATATTGTTGTATGGTTTTTTTTGTGTATGTTTGTGTATATGCCATGTGTATATGCTCATGTTTTTAAAGCTGGCCCCTATCTGCCTCTCCAATTCTCCTCCTCACTCACCTGCTTCTGTTGCTTAAGCCTTCTTCTAATTCTTCAAATATAATAAGCCCACTCCTATGTCAAAACTCTTGCATCTATTCACTCACTTTTCCTGGAAGGTTTTCCATAGATCTCATCACCACTTACACTTCCACATTAGGAAGGTCTTTGCTCAATATCACATTGGCATAAATACCATCCTTTCCTGATCATTTCATCAAAGCAAGTCTACTTATCTCTATATCCCTTGTGCCCACTCCATTTATACTGTCTCCTGCTTTTTCTCTACACCATTCACCTTACATCTGACATTATAATTCACTGTCTATTTACTTATTTTCTGTCTTTCTAAGTAGAAAAAAGCTTTGTCTTATTTACTGCTGTATCCACAGTAATCAAGGTGACCAATAGCCTAGCTGCAAAGGTGAGTGGTTGCTTCTACCTCCAGCTCCTTGCTCGTTGAATTCCAAGTATTTGTCTGTGTGTGTGAAATCGATTTTGTTATTTTTGCCTACTTAACTTTCATTTTCCCTTCCTCTGTAACAGTCTTCTAATTTTGCATTGATAAACAATGATTCCTCATGTTCCTTAGAATGGAATGGTCATCCAAGATATACTTCCTTCTTTTGGTAAAGGTATCATGTGACTATCTGAACCAATCATGATTTTATCCTCGAGAAATCTGACTCTTGTATAAAGAATAAAATATATAGGAAAATAACTAATTTGATCTGGAAGTTTGGTGAGGGGCTGATGATACAACTCAGTGAAACAGTGCTCGCCTAGATGCCTAACATGCCAGATACCCTAGATTCAACCATCACAAAGTTTTGGTAATGACCTAAAGAGAATCGTCACTAGTGCCTGCTCTGCTTTAATCTTTTCTTCAGTTTGTCTTTCAGTTTTGTAAACTATCCAAAATGTTCTCTCTTTCTCAAACTTCTGTTTCTTAGTCATCAAAAGTACCCTACTTAGGAAACTTAGGCCTATTATTTCTTCAATTTAAAAATGTAGATAATAACAAAATTTTCATACGAAGAGTAAATGAGATATCCATTCATCCAAATATGCAATTCCTCAATGGTCCAGGCCTTGTATGGATACAAAAATAGAGATGCAATTCCAAAAGGGAGGTGTGCATGAGGGTTGGGATGGATTTTGTGGAAATATTACCTGGACACCCAAATGAAGGCAGTCTCTGACAGCACACAGTTTCTACTGTAGTAAACTGAATCATATGAAATTGGCATATTCAACCATTTTTGAAACAGGAAAGTAACAATTTCATAGCATTTTTCTAATACTATGAAGGAAATAGCTATACATACAGTCAGCAATTTCATGCTGGGAGTCAGAAGCACCTATCTTATTTGTATGAAAAATGCCTAAAGATCAGCTACAGCTTAGGTACAGATTTGTCTTTGAAATATATCCACGAACTGCACTCCTAACAGATTCTGTACAAAGGAAAAACATTCACTCCTTTCTGGATATTTTTGGTATTTTGGAGCAAAGGAATAGGTTCCTAAATCTGTAATTTTCTAATTTATCTTCTTGAACAACCTACAATTGCCAAAAGACTAAAAATTTCACCCTCAAAAATATTTAAAGAGTTATTGAGATAACCTACTCAGAATCAAGATTAAAAAGGAAACCAGGTTTAAATTTTAGAACAAACTAAAATGAAAATCAAATTATATACCAACCAAATCCTGAGAGCAAGACCAAGACCAAAGTCAAGTCAAACATAGCTTTAAAGTATAGCTGTAAAATAGACTCTGTGCACAGACACAAAGGGAATAAATATGGTCAAAGTATGTGATGTACTTGAACCAGAAGGCCATCATGAACCCCACTGTTCTGGACAATGAATATACACTAACAATTTTTTTAATTCACTAAACTACACCCTTGGTATATTCTTCTTGAAAATGTAAAATTACAATTGTTTATTTGAGTTCTGATTGCTGACATACTTAAGGACTGCTACTGCCTATTCTGTTATTTCCAGAAGGCCTAGAGACTCATGGTAGGTTAAAAACAGATTCTACAGAATTACTATGAGGGCATGTTCTACTTGTAGCATCACTGGGTTTGCAGCCCCCACAAAGCATGTCGGTGACAGTCTGTTACTCTGCACTGCTTACGATACACCCATTTTACAAACACGATGCCCAAATGAAGCCTGAACAGCTCGGTCCAGATCACAGAACCTATGTGCACAGAGGCTGACCAAGCCCATGTGAGCATTTGAAGCTCCTGCAAAGGAGGAGTCTTCATCTCAAAATCAAAACAGAAAGAAGAGTGATTCCCACCCAGCTGGGCAGTGGTTGTGTACACCTTTAATCCCAGCACTCAGGAGGCAGAGGCAGATGGATCTCTGTGAGTTAGAGGCCAGCCTGATCTACAGAAGAGTTCCAAGACAGGCTCCAAAGATACACAGAGAAACCCTGTATTGAAAAACAAAAACAAACAAAAGTGTGATTCCCCAAACGTAGAAAGGGGGCACAGATTTTTGGTATGTAACAGAACAACTTTTCTACAATGATACTTGTATTAAAGTTTCATTTTTAAAAGATTTATTTTGAAAACATAATAAAAACAAGTCACATTTGCAGACAACTATATAGAAATCTTTCAATTAACAAAATTGTAAATTTCTACCTTACCTTGTAATAACGAAAATAGTCCCGTTCTTGTAACTTTTTTAATTTGGGGAAGATTTTGTAGTTGTTGAAGTTATCAATGCTGTCAACGTCACACAAGCAATCATCCAGAACTCCAGTCACCTAGAATGTAAATATGTATAAGATACAAGATATCCAAATCACTAATGTTTATACCTTAATAAATCTATTATTTTCAAATATAATTTATTCAAGTTGGCCAGTTTTACTGATTAAGATTTATAACATTAAAGCCAATGAAATGACCTAGTAGGTAAAAGTGCTTGCTGCCAAGTCTGACGACCTGAATTCAATCTCCCTCCACACGGTGGAAGGCGGGAACTGACTCTTGAAACTTGTCCTCTGACTTTTGTATGCATCCCATGCCACATGTGTATTCATGCCCCAAAACATACACAAAATAACTAACTGTAAAAAGTACTTTTAAAATTCATAACATTAAAGCAGTCACTTTCCAACTATGGCAGTTGAATATAAAAAACAAAACCAAGAAAGTTATCTACTTTGAAATACCAAACCTCTTTTTAGGACTCAAAATCAAGGATACTTATACCTTTTCTCTGCCTAAAGGCCAATAAAAATGCAAGTAGCTACTGGATTCCAGACTAGCCTAGAACCCACAGCCTGTAATGCCACTTGCATCTTTCTTTTAGGCTGCCATTTATGTGCCAGGCATGGTGTTAAAAGCTTTAGTATGTCACCTCATTTACTCTTTAAAACTATCCTGCAAATACCCTATTATGACCCTCATTGTAAGGAAATTATGGTTTAACAAGCTTACAATGACTGTTTTACATACCCATGGAATTTAACTCCCAAATCTACCAGACTTAAAGTCTGTTCTTCCTAGCTACTCAAAGAATCAATGAATCTAAGAAGAGAAACAGGTATATAAGAGGTAAATTCTGAGTCCAAAAAATTCATAAGACATTCTTCAGCCTTATGAAAAATGATTCTCAATATATAGGCACAACTTGAATTAATCCCAGAAGTCTCCTAAGTAAAACATAGCATACCCCAAAGTTACATGCTATAGTTTCATGTACAGAATTTCCTGGAAAGCTTTAGAAATAATGGAAAGTGTGCTAGTCTCCAGGGCTTCGAGACGGGTAGGGGATAAGAGCTGGAGTGGGAACAAGATAGTGTGGTAATATAAAGGCAATACAGACAGTGAGATGGCTCAGCAGGTAACACATCCCAGCCTGATGACCTGAGTCCAATCCCTGGATCCCATGGTGGAAAGAAAGAACCAATTCTCAAAAGTTGTCATCTGGCATCCACATGTGTCTGTAACCACATGTGGATTGTGCACACATTATGTAAGCACACGCTCTCACATACACAATTATGATAATAGAACAGGATAGATGCTTGAAGTTCATATCTACAACCACACGTTTCATACGTTCACACACACATGCACACGTGTGAGCACATATGAAATGATGATAATGGTGAGGGGAAGAGGATAGGAACAGGATAGATGACTGAAGTGATTAACCTGATCCATATTTTCACTGTGGTGGTGAATCTATGAAGTTGCAATGTAATAGAAATGTGAATACATACACATGTACAGAGTTGGGAAAATACTAAATCATTGTATCAATGGCAACATCCTGTTTATAACTCTGAACTCTATCTTTACAGATGTTACCATTGTGATAACTTGGTAAAGGAAACATAGCACTTCTCTGTATTATTTCCTACAATTAATTGCACATGAACTTGTAACATTTCAATTCAAGGTTTTAACTCTGCCTACTAAAGATTCTATTCATAAAGTCCTTGGATAGAAAGAGACACAAAAGCAGTGGACGGAAGTAGAAGTCCTAGCCAATTATGTTTCTTTCCCAGAAATGTCTCTTAAACTCCCTCCGACATGGAAGCAGCAATGTTGCCTTTACATATAGACCAAGAGCTGGTTGTCTAGCATTTCTGCTCTGGAATTCTGCACTCACCACCCTACTTCCTAGAATCCTCCAACTCCCAAATTTCATTGAGTTTCTGGGTTCTCAAGTGACAGATAGCTGCATATATATGTATATATAGACAAATGTGTATATACATACATATATGTCTACATACAAATATACACATATGTGCATACATAATATACACACACATCTGTTTTAAAAATACTTTTTCTAAGTCAGGTATGGTGACTGTCTTAGTAAGGGTTTTATTGCTGTGAAGAGATACCATGACCATGGCAAGTCTTATAAAGGAAAACATTTAATTAGGGCAGGCTTACAGTTTCAGAGGTTTAGTCAATTATCATCATGGCATAGTACTGAAGAAGGAGCTGAGATTTCTGTATCTTGATCTGCAGCAGCAGCAGGAGAGACTGTCACACTGGGTGTGGCTTGAGACCTCAAAGCTCGCCTCCACAGTGACACACTTCCTCCAAGAAGGCCACACCTACTAGTAGTGCCACTCTCTATGGGCCAAGCATTCAAACGAGTCGATGGAGTCCATACCTATTCAAACTACCATGTTGGCTCATGCCTCTAATCCTAGCACTTGGGAGGCAGAGGCAGGCAAATCTCTGTGTTTGAGACCAGCTTGGTCTACAGAGCTAGTTCCAGACAGCCAAGGTAATGCAAACAAACACTGCCCCCACCAAAAGAAAACAAACAAAAAACTCTATCTAGTAACTGTTCTTTTTTAGTAATGTTTTTTAAACCAAAAACTTTTGGTTTGTAAACCATCATATTTTTTTCTTTAAATAATTTGAAGGGGCTGTCAAGATAACTCAGTCAGCAAAATGCCTGCCACAAAAGCATAAAGGTCTAAATTCAGATTCAACATTCATATAAAAAGCTGGGGAGACAGCAATAGGGAAGTGGAGAATGAGGATCTCTGGGGCTTGCTGGTCAGTCAGTCAAATTAACTTGATGCACTCCAGCTTCATCAAGACTCTGCCTCAAAAAAAAAAAAAAGAAAAGAAAGGAAGAAAGAAAGAAAGAAAGAAAGAAAGGAAAAAATGGAGCAAGATTGATGGCACTTAATGTTAATTTCTAGCCTCCACATGCATGTGTGTGCACACAGGTACATTCACAGACGTATGCCCACACACCATTTTCATTGTGAGAAAGATAACTGCTGCTAATACATATCTGTAACTTTTAAAGACCACTAAGATAAAACCTGTGTGCTACCAAAATTTGAAATATAGATGTGAATATCGCCTGAATCTTTGAAGTTTCTTCTCAATTACATCTACTCAGAAGTTAAAATAAAGCTTATTGTGATCAATTTTCTTTGTAATGCATCCCTAATATACAATTCCCGTTTTCATAATATCAGCATCATTTCCTTTCAATTCTTCAATGCTTTTGTTAACATTTTACTTTGGCATTATCTATGATGGTGAGTTTTACTTGCAGCTAGCTCATCCACTTTCCCTGCTGTAAATGCTGCATAATATGAAAAAGCACAGCTTATCCATTCTATTTTGCTCCATGAAGAAGGAAGAAAGTCCAGGGTGTGCAAGTCCTGATTCCTAAGATGCTAAGCTTCACAAATCTAACCTTTTTGATGTTTTTATTGTTTAGTTTTGTTTTATTTCTTGAGACAAGGTTTCTTTGTATACCCCTTGCTGTCTTGGACCTTGCTCTGTAGACCAGGCTGGCCTCAAACTCAGAAATTCACCTCCCTCTGCCTTCCAAGTGCTGGGATTAAAGGCATGTTCCATCTCCGCCCAGCTCACAACTTAATTTTAAGAGGATATTATTTTACAACGCAAGGGTCTTTAAAGATGGGACCAGGAACAGGTAAGATGGGTCAGTGGGTTAAGGATGCTTGCCAAGCAAGCCTGGTTACTTGAGTTTAATCCCTGGAATCCATGTAAAGTTGGAAACAAAGAACCAACTCTGTCCTCCGATCTCTATATAGCATGCAGTGGCAAGCAAGCAAGTGCATATGAACTCTCTCTCCTCTGTCTGCCTGTCTGTCTGTCTCTGTCTCTCTGTCTCTCTCTCTGTCACACACACACAAAAAGGTTTAAAAAAAGAAAAATGATTAAGAAAAAAAGAGAACCTGGAATAGATTAAAATGGGTAAAAGGAAAAATGGATAATTATAATGGATATTTACAAATTTATAAATATAATAAAATAGATACAAATTTTTTAAAAGATGGGATTAAGGATCTTAAGACATGAAAACTATATTAGATTACTCAAGAGAGAACAACAGAGTTGACAGAATTCCTTATCAGGAGGAGGCAGGAGAAATTAGAAGGTACAGTACTGACATTGAAGATAAAGAAAGATGTCACAAGCCAAGAAAAAGAAGTCTTTAGAAGCTTGACGGAAGCACAAACAGTTCTCACCTACATCCTCCAGGACTCCCACCTTGTTGATGCCATAATTTTATCACTGTAAAATTCATTTTCAGATTTTTGGCCCTCAAAATTATAAGATTAAAAATTATAGTTTTTAGTGACTAAATTCTGGAGATTTGTTGCAGCAACAAACAGAAAACAAATGTATTCCACGTTGATTATAAATTTGGCTAAAGAACAAAGTTACACAAACATCTTTGTACATACACCTTGGAATACATGTGTAAAAGTTTCTCAAGGTGATAAATCTTGGGTATAAAATTGCTCTAAGTACACGTTTAGCTTTATAGGTAAACATCAGGCTGACTTGCAAAGTTTTTTATATCAAATCAGTATTTCACCACCAATGGTCAGGAGTTAACGTTGAGACATGCTCTCTTGAATACTTAATATTAATCTATGGTTTAATTATTACCAATAAAAAAAGCACAAAGAGGTATGAGGGAGTAGTGGATTTCTATATTCATTTCTTCCTGATTCTGAAGTTTGAGATGTTTGTCATTCAAATGTAAATACTGGAAATAAAAAATTGGGTATGGTTATCTGGAACTGAGATTTCTTATCTTCAAACATAAACCTGAGAGTCAGGTATAGATGGGTTTTTAAAACCACGCATCCAGATAGGTTGAACAAAAGACACAAACTCTGGTTCTCAAATGACTAGGGCAGAGGAGAAACAAACTAAGTGTTCTAAGATGGACTGGCCCATTACAGAGGAAGTCAACCTGGAAAGTTAGCATCCTGGATACCAAAAGATGTACTTAAAAGAGGAAGGGTGGAGTTGGGGGAAAAATTCTACTAATAGGTAAAACCTTAGCAACAAAAACCCTGGAAACCTTGACAAGAGAGCAGTTTCAGGGTAGTAGTCGTCGTCGTTGTCGTCTGACCATAATGAATAGGCTAAATAGAACACGAAAAATAAAATAGGCAAAACAGGAGAAATAAAAACAACTCAAGAATTTTTATAGATCTACAATTTAAAAAGGAGGAAGGGGTAACTCAATCAGTAACATGCTTGATGAGGACCAGAGTTCAATACCAGGAACCAAGATCATAGAATGACAGTCACAACCCATTAGAGGAAGAAAAAATTTAAAGACCCAAGGGAAAAGAACACATGAAGGGAACCATACCCTTGAGTAAGAAAGAAGAAATGGCCCCTAATACACACTATAAGAGCACAAATGACTCATCCGTGGTTGTAACCAACACAGTCACAACAGCTGGCAGCGACCAGTAAGTGGATTCCTCTGTGGCAGTTCTCTTTTGTTAGGCATGATGCTAACAGGGCAGATAAGCAGATGATGAAGGATTAAGTTGAAAAATCTGTAATTTAAATTTCTTCAGCTGGGTGTAATGAGCTATTTAATTCATCCTCTGAGTTTCAAATTTTGTTTCTTTTCTTTTTGAGACAGAGTCTTAAGTAGCACATGCTAAGAAGAAACTGGCTACTTAACTAAGACTAACCTTGAACTTACAATTTTCTGTCTCCTACCTCTTGAGAGAGCTTATAGGTGCATACCATCACACTTGGCTTAAATTTTACTTTGAAATCTTCAATTTCATTATTTTTAATATTTTGGTCATTCTTTTAGATATGTTTTTTCATACTTCTATGTGTTTATTTAAATACATTAAAGCAATATTAAATTACTTACCTAAAAATTTCAGAACCTAAAGGAATTCACTGTCTCTCATTTTTCCACTATAGATGTTCCTCAACTGCCTATGAGAAATCTCCCCAATAAGCTCACTAAAACAAAAATTCAAATGGAAATACAGTCAAGACACACAACCTATCATACATCATAGCTCAGAAACAGGACACAACTTGGGGAGTACAAGTTGTTTACCCTTATGTTGGCATAGCTGATAGAGAAACTGTGGCTCACTGTCCCTGCCTGGTATTGAAAGTACATAGCTAGTCAGAGAAATCAAAAATCAAAATATGAAGTAGTGTCTACCAAGTAGATATAGCTTTCTAACATCTGTAAAGATTTAAAAAAATGTATATCCATCATAAAGCAGGGCTATCTGTATCTGATTCACGGTGCCCTTTCGCCTTGGGGTTTTGCGATTACTTTTTTTGGCACATGGTTAGCTGTTTATTCCACTGAACACTAGCTCAGAAAAAAAATCTTAAGTACTTAAGTTGAAAATACACTTCTCTTGGAGGAATAGATACTTGCGTTCTCTTGTAACCTGGGGGACATGAGCCTTGGCTGGCTGTGAATTCAACTTCTAACTGAAGTGTATCCTAAGCCCATGTGTTACAAACTTGGCCTGAAAAGGCATGTGAGGGCTGCTCACAGTCACAGACTCTCACTGAGTTTTCATCCTGTTCTTCTGAAAAGTTTTTACTTTCCCCTTACTCAAAATGGGACTCATTTCTCATTCACACTTACACTAAGGATGTAGCTTTTTGGGGTCCAGGCTTTGTGGTGGGGTCTTATCATTCTCTCACTTAGGGAGGGCACTGGTGTCATTTCTTGCCAATTCCACCCCCATGAAGCTGCAAGGCTAGAAGCTTGATCTTCGGTGTTTAAAAGAAACCCTCGGGGTAAAGGAAGAGTTAGACACTATGAGTCCCACATTTCTGACTTCCATTTGGTGGCGAGCTATGTGTTTCTTGATTTCATGCCACCACAGGTGGGCATTTTAAAGGATTTCAAATATATCTGACTGAAATATCCTTTTATACGAAAATTGTATGTTACATGCCATGAGCCATATTTGCATTTCATTTATAAGAAAATGGGCAGGAGATATACAAATGAACATCCTTTCACGTGGTCAAAAATATTTTCCTGCTTTCAATACAGAAGGCAAAGTACCTATTTCCTTAAATGACTTTGATTTCTTATGAACAGAGGTGTTTTTCAAAAATTCTAATTTCTTCCTTTTGGCTTTACTATTTTTTGCTACCAAGTTTAGGATGCATGAGAAGAAGAAAAAACTGTCTTAGTTCCACTTTCTGATTTTCTGGTCTCAGATTCTCTATACTCTGAAGCAAGTATGCCAATTTTATAATACTGTGTAAAGCAGAAGGGGTTACACCAGGGACCCAGATTATATCACTTAACAAGTCAGTTAAGCTCTCTGAACTTCACTTACCACTACAGTCTTATATTTGAGATATATACCAAATAAAATGTAATACATAATTAAGCATTTTATAGGTTAAGGTGCTATCTAAAAATGTTATCAAAAACTATATTAGAAAGTACCTTTGGAAACAAACTATAGACACTTTTGTAGACTGTTTAGCACAGTAATACTTTGAAATGCATATATATTTAATTGTTCAACTATATATACATAAATTCATTTGGATATAAGGAAATAGATTTACAGGTACATTATAAACCACCAATAAGTATGATTATTGGTAGCTAGAGAAACCTTAAGTGAAGCTTCTAGATTGGTGATAAAGTATACAATTAATACACAAGAAAATGAGAAGCCAGACTAAATGAAAGTTCCCCTCAAACCAGACAAACTAGTATGTAGAAAATAATTTTGCTACTGACAGCCTGGGAAGTTTATTTTTGCTAAGTCTATTAAATACATCCATAATTCTATCATACCATTTTCCAAGCCAGGTTAAGATGTAGTGGAAAAAACAGCTGCATTACAGATATTTGCAAGGCTTGTTTAGAATGCCGATTCCTTGCTCAGTTCCAGATGGATTTGGAATATATGGAAGGGGGTCAAAGAATCTCCAAGTTTAACAAAGTGTTTCTTTTCCTTTCCCTTTCTTCCTTCCTTTTCTCTGGTTGTCTCACTGTTAGTTTTTTTGAGAGAGGGTCTTTCTATGTAGTCCTGGTTAGCCTAGAACTTGAAAAGTAGACAGGCTAGAATCCAACCTGTGGCAATCATCCTGAGTGTGGCTACGGGTATGTACCACTATTTCCAGGTGCTGCTTTTATTTTTATCAAATTAGTCATTTAAACAACATTCACGTGAACACGAACGGAACATCCAAGCATTCTAGGAATTAATGCTGGGCATTATAACACCAACAACAAAGTCAGAAAAACATGTTTACACGGTTACCATCAATTTTTTTTTCTTAGCAATGAGCGTTAATTGCTTCAAACTGCATGCCCCTCATTATCAGGCCATCTGAGACACTTTTGTTTTGCTTCATTTTTGGCTCTTTGAGCTAACACTTTGCAGCAGGTGCAGACAAGATGCAGCAGCATCTGGCAACCTATTCAAATCTTACTCACTAAAAAAAGCAACAAACCTACCTCTCTTCAAGGCAAGAGGCTGTGATCAGCTAACCCTTGGCTTTCTAGCATATAGAGAAAGGCTCAACGAAGCAACCCCAAAGGCCAACCGACACTCCGGCCAGCAAACCTCACTATAGACTTAGAGGCCCACAGTCAGGGCCCAGACCTTCCCAATGTCGTAAGTGTCCTCACCTGACGATGCCACTTTGCATACGCGGGACAGGTGGGTAATAATAAAGCCGGTAAAGCCTGGCAATTACTAGCGCACAAGTTCAAGGAAGTGAAGCCCTGTCCTCCTCTAGTCCCCTCAGGAAGAGGGTGGAGAGCCTCCCTGTCATCTCCAGAGGGAAAGGTGTCAGAGGTTTGTATCCCTCTCTTGCTCAAGACACTGAGGTTTTTCTCCCTGTCACCATCACGATGATAAAGCCGCTAGCGCTTACTGGCCCTCACCATCTTCCTCTTCCGTCTGCCTCCGCCACGCGTGTCGCGTCCTCGCGCCAGCCGCGCTTTCCAGGCGTTTCCCGCACTAGCCGGTGCGGTTCCCTCAGTCCCTCGCCGGCCACTGGCACCTGCACCTCGGCCTCTCGGCGACGCCGGCGCGGCCCGTCCCCTGCCTCCCGCCCCTCGGGATTACCTGGGTCATGACAAGACTTGGGAGGAAGCTCAGGGTGACCAGCAATTGCACGGCGGCCGCCGCCCCCTGCCCGGCGACGGCCGGGAGAAACCCCGGACTCATGGTGACCTCGGCCGCTCGGAGCTCGGGAACAGAGGGCCGCCGCGACGACGACGGCCGGAGTCGGTGTCCGGGAGCCGGGAGCCTCCAGGACCCGAGCTCTGCGAGCCGGCCTCAGGATGGAAACACTCTACTGTTCCCAGAGCAGCGACTGATGTACCAGCGCTGCGCGCCCCCGCTTCATCCCAGGAGGCCCCGCCCCCGGCGTCCTCAGTTGTGATCACGCCCTCTGTGCAATGCCTTCTGGGAGTTGTAGTCCCGGCATCCCCTTGAGGCCCCCCCACAACGGGAAGGCCTTGAAAATGGAGAACTACAGACCCGGAGGTCGCTCTGCCTCCTGAGGCGGGGCTCCGTAGCGGCCAATGAGGCGGGACCACGAGGGCTCCAAAACACCCCAGAGCGGGCGGGAGAGCTGGTACTGTTTTAGGGGTTGGCGGTGGCAACGAAGCCTCTGTTTCGTCGCTCTGGGAAACCAGGCTGGGGGGCCCGCAGGGCTTCCGGCATTGTGCCGGTTGCTCCTTGTCACCTTGCTCCTTGTCACCGCTTATCTTTTTGGAACCAAGACATCCCCCACAGGAGACTTGCAGTCCCAGGAGTTTTCTTTGCTTCTTTTCTCACCTGTGCAGTTACCTAAAACCACCTGGCATCTTATCCTGGTGTCTTCAGCACCTCCTTCATGTCACACGCCCCAGAAGTGAATGCCACTGCTTGGTGTCTCCTCTACTCTACCAACACCAGGAAAATCTATAATGCATTTTAAAGAATGAAGATAATCCCAAACCTACACAGGGAAAAAGAAGAACCGGAACAAAGTCACAGAAAAACGTGAAGTGACATAGGCTATCCTAAATTTAACACATTCTTGTTATAAGCATTGCTGCTCAAATGGAAAGGTGTCCTGGCAGTTGGGAGCCAAGGAATACCACAAAGTCAGTTTCGTGGTCTTAATTACACCTCAAATATTGTCCTAGGACTATGTAAGATTATGTACATAGGTTTCCTGTAGTGCCTAGCAAATAGGAAGTGTTCAATAAATGGTAACCTCTAGCTTTATCAATACCCCTGAGTTTCAGGAAACACATTAGGTAGTGTGTATTAATTTGTCATTGTTGGTGTAACAAATGACCACAATGTATTATATTCTGGAAGCCAGAAACCCAAAATGAATCCAACAGCTTTTCCTTGCTCTTTCCAGATCTAGAACCACTAACATTCCTAGACTCAGGACCTCTCAGGACACAGTGGCATAACCTGCTTCTGTTGCCAGGTGCTTTCTGGCCCTATCTCTCTTGTTCACCTGCATGGGGCTCACCCGGATAATCCAGACCATCTCTTTATCTCAAAATCCTTAATCCCATCTTCAAAGACTCTTTTGCCATCTCACATCCACAGGCTCCAGAGATTAGGACAGGGACATCCGAGGCCTCCCACTAATCAACCCAGCAGTGCTTTATGTCTTTCAGAGAACATTTGCATACATGATTCCTGCAGACCTACTGCATAATCTGTAGGGCCAGCTAGAAATGAAAGTTCAAGGACTCTTTTCAAAAAAAAAAGTGAGAAATTTCAAGACAGTGACAGCATAGCAATAAACCCCAGTACAAGGCCCTGGAACTCCACCCGTCTTCTCATGAAGCCAGCTCCCTTGGTCCTTGTCTCCACATGTCTTTTGCTTCTTCTGGACCAGGACTTCTTTATCTAACCAATCAACTTCAACTTGCTTCTCCTATTTCTTTGTGCTTTGGATATGCAGAGACTTTCCTTGAGCCCCTTTGGCTTCATTTGGTCCTGATAACACATACATCATGCAAAATGGCCATAGATTTTTTAAGTTATAAACTGTACTATTTTATTTCTTTATATTTATTTTTGTTTTTTGAGAGATAGTTTCCCTGTGTAGCCCCGACTGTCCTGGAACTCGATCTGTATACCAGGTTGGCCTTGAACTCAGAGATCCACCTGCCTCTGCCTCCCAACTGCTGGGATTAAAGATGTGGGCCACCACCACCACTCAGGATAAATTGTCCTATTTTAAAATCTCAAGTTTTTAATATTTTATATCAAGGACATAATTATGCCTGTCATTCAGAGCACTTCAGGGTCTGTCACTGAAGAAAAACTCGACTGATCAATTAATTGACAGAAGGGAAAAAGTTTGCAAAAGTTACAATGGAGTTATATGGCACACTATTTGTTTTTCAGCTCAGAAGCTTGAGTCACAATGTTTGGAGACAGTTTTTCCTTCTTGGTGAGCAAAATCAGGGTTTTTTTTTTCCACGAGAAAGAAGGGTATGGAGGGTCACACTGACCTATGCTGTGATCTGTTTTAGTGTTTATTGTAATGAGCAGTGAGAGGGGATTGTGAATTGATGGAAAAACTACCTTCCACAGTTTTAGCCTTGCTGTTTACTTCTGCTTTCCCTAAAATCAACTATGTTGCAACCATCATTAGGGTGTGCATTGACTCTGTGATGCCAACCATGCTTCTTACCTATGATCCTCAGTTTCAAACTTCCCGTCCTAATGATGCGGTTGGAAGTTAAAACACATCCCTTTAATGGCAAGCTATAGTAAGAAAAATCAGATCTATCTAAATTTATCAACAATAACAAAAATAATAGTAATTAGGAAACTGACAACTTGTGAGACTGAACAAGGCTTCAGCACTTACAGCTCTGGTAAGTTGAGTCCATCAGTATGTAATTCAGGGACCATGAGGAGTAGGGACTATTGGCTACTCTTTGCCACAACATTGCCATTGTACTGACTCACTGTTTCCAGTTACTTTTCATCATTTATCCTCCCATCAAAATTCCTTGAGTTTAGCTGAGAGAGGCTTACTGGCTGGTTCTGTGTGTCAACTTGACACAAGCTAGAGTTATCAGACAGGAAGAAGCCTAAGTTGAGGAAATGCCTCCATGAGATCCAGTTGTAAGGCATTTTCTCAATTAGTGATCAATGGGTGAGGGCCCAGCCCATTGTAGATGGTGCTTGTGGTCCTGGGTTCTATAAGAAAGAGGTTGAGCAAGTCAGGGGAACCAAGACAAGAGGCAGCTCTCCTCCATGGCCTCTGCATCAGCTCCTACCTCCATGATCCTGTCCTGTTTGAGTTCCTGTCCTGACTTCCCCCAATCTGAAAGTAAGCCAAATAAGCCCTTTCCTTCCCAACTTGCTCTTTGGTCATGGTGTTCATTTCAACAATAGAAGCCCTAACAGAGTGGGAGAGGAGAAAGAGAAATAGACAGCACAAACATATTGACAACCCCACAGGACTACAGAGAATGGGAAGAGGCTAGGTACACAGCTGCATGGCAAGACCCACTCCCATCGTTAATAGAAAGAGACTAGATACACAGAAAGAGTAGTGGCTTCCTTCAGGAAGCCATACTAGTACTGTGTGTCGTACAAATTCATTTTTCCCCTGCGGTGGTAGAGATTGAACCTAGGACCTCACACATGCTAGTCAAGTACTCTACTGCTGAGCCACACCACAGGCCTATTTTATATTTTAATTTAAAATGTATTTGTATTTATGTGTACATGTATGTGCTTGCTTTTGTGCTCATTGTACGTGCAGTGCCTGCAGAGGACAGAATAAGGTATCAGATCCCCTGCAACTGGAGTCACAGGAGATTGGGAACTGTCTGATATGGATACTTGGACCAGAACTGGGGTCTTCTGCAAGAGCAGGAGGTGCTCTTAACCATGGAGCCATCTCCAACTCCCTTATTATTTTTCAAATCTAAGTTGCCTAGAGAGGCTATGGAATTTCGATTCTCCTGCCTCAAGCCTCCTGAGTAGCTAGAATCACAGCCTACAGTACCAAGCCTGGCTTTCAAATTCATTTTTCTTTACCTTGGCTTGTATTCATGCATTCATTAAATTATTCCAGATGTCCTGGTCTGTGGGTACACTGATAAGTATACACCAGGACACTGGCCAGCCAAACAGCAGTAATATGTTCTTACAGATAATGTAATTTATTATTTACAAGCCACCTGGCTTAGGCAAGCCTAATTATCTGGAACTAAGGTACAGGAAAATTATCCTTTTAAGTGGAAAAAATATATGAGCCTCCCAGATCAATTCTGGAAAGAGTGAGGACCAACTTTGTCAATTAGTACAACTCCTTTGGGGCAAATAGTGATGATTTCTCATTGATGTGGTTGGGATAAATTATGGTTAACTCTGTGGGAGAATCGATCTTAGAACAGATGATATATTACTTTTCTCATTGCTATGATCAAATACCCAACAAGAAGCAACAATGGGAAACAGGTGAGTCCATCATGGGGATGGGAAGATGTAGGGAAGCAGGGTAAATGTGTAGCAGTGGGAGCATGAGGCTGCCTGCTCATATCTCAGTGGACCAGGAAATCTCATATCTACCCATGCTTACCCCCCACCAATAACACACACACACACACACACACACACACACACACACACACACACACACACACACACCAGAAACTGCTTTCCTCAAGCAAGGTCCCCCTTCTAAAGTGCTCACAACCTCCCAAAACAGTGCTGCCAGCTGACCAAAGATTCAAATACAGGAGTCTCTGGGGACATTTTATATCCAAATCATGACAGATGATAAACCATGATTTTGTTTCCTGTAACTCTTAAAGGAACCTAACCTACCTGAGCATGAGTGACCTGATTATGTTTCACCTTTTAGAATGGATAGTGTGGATGGCACTTAACCATTTCAAGCCCTTTGTTTTTTTTGTTTTGTTTTGTTTTGTTTTTTTTGGTTTTACGAGACAGGGTTTCTCTGTTTTGGAGGCTGTTGGTCCAGCCTGGCCTCAAACTCACAAGATCCGCCTGCCTCTGCCTCCCGAGTGCTGGGATTAAAGGCGTGTGCCACCAACGCCCGGCTTCAAGCCCTTTGTTTTATCTTGCTGATTTGCCATTTTGATTCTCCTTCCTCAGTCTTCTGAGTAGCTGGGGTCACAGGCCTCTGCCACAAGACCTGGTTTTCAGATACTCTTCTTGGGGGGCTGGAAGATGGTTCAGTCGACAAAGTGTTGGCCATGCAAGCATGAGGATTTGACTGTGGATTCCCAGTGCCCACATAAAAGCCAGATACAGTGGCACTGCATTTGTTATCCCAGGACTAGGAAGTGGAGACTGGTAGATCCCTAGAGCTTGCTGGCCAGCTAGGCTAGCAGGGTTGGTAAGCCCCAGGTTCAGTGAGGGATCCCATCTTAAAACATAAGATGAAGACCAGCTGAAGAAAACACTGCATGTCAGCCTCTGGGGTAGACAGACAGACAGACAAACAGACACACACACACACACAATTGACGATGCAACTATAGTCACAAATGTATGACAGCAGCATTTCTTCAGGTTCGCTGCTTTGCTTTCAAATCTGAGTTGTTCTCTCCATTCCTCTCACGGATGTCTTTTT